CCTCGGCCGCAGAAGGCAATAAACATCCCGGGCTCGAGTGGAACGAATGCTGCGCTGAGCTGGTGCACCACTCGACTTGACTTGACGTAACGAGATCGGCGAGGAGCGCGCAAGCAAAGAACGCCGACCTGACATTTATGACCAGCACATCCACACCATTATCCACCGATCGCGCGGACGGAGGACACGAACAAAGCGTCGCTCAATATTTCAAATTAATAAACACCAGCCAGCGACTGACTAGCGCAAGCAAACAAACACACAAATATTGAATATTCCATCAAATACGAGAGCGTAAACAATTAAATAGTTTCGAGTTGATTGTCGAACAACGGTTTGTTTGTGTCCTAAACGGCATCGAGTGTTTTAATAACCGCGTTTCTCTTTTTTTTTTATATCTTCTCGTGTTATTCTTGTTTAAATTCTTGTTTAACTGCATTGAGATGTAGAGCCGGCGGTATCGATTGCGAAATAAAAGCGGTAATATGTGATTGTTTCGGAAACGAGGCAGCGAGCGAAATTGCTTCCTTCCTATCTGCGAGTCGACCGAGAATAGAATCTAATTAGGGACGAAACTTGAAAACTCGCGGGGCGGCGAGAGTGGAAATTCGGAAAATTGCAGCGGCGACGTCGATTGATCTCAGACACGCGAGCCGAAAGCAATCAGCGAGGAGCGCGAGCGCCGCCTCCTCTCTAATAACACGTCGATTCCACCCCAGTGTTTCAACGAAGCACCACTTCACCCCATCAGCGCAAACATGACATGATATCGCACGATATCCCGCGCTGCGCCGCCGCCGCCTTGATTGACTTTCTAATTGTCTCCGTTCAATTACATCTTCTATCGAACAAACACGCGATTTAATTGAAATGTGTCGATGTGTGGAGTAGTGCCGAGGTGGAAATCCACTGCCGGCAACCATTGCCAACGTGCATCCTAATTCGTAATTAGCGCAAGCTGTCCCCGCGCTGGGTAATTTACACTCCGCGCCGCCATCAATTGTTCTTGGCGCTGCGCCTTCGCCGTCGACTGCCGGCGTTAAGATCATCGTAAACTCGGCGACATTCGGCGCCCCCAGCGCGCCCCCCGGAGCAATTAAAGTCACAATGTCGCGATTATCGCACGACTTTATTATGACTTTACGGATCTTTACGATGACAGCGATACAATTCAAATTGAAGACGCGAACAATTAGTGTGCCGAGGCGGCGGCGCTGCCGCCTCCAGGCGGGACAATTCGCGACAAATGCGGACACTTTACGAGCATAAGCTCCGGGCGCATTTTTCGCGCACGCTTGACTCTCGTAAAGAATTTTAATTTCGTGTGCGCTCTCGGAACTTTCTTAATTTCGGAGGATATTAACTTCGATAAACTGTCTTTTTGATGGCTCAGAGATTTTGTAACATTTGCGCAATTGTATTAATTTCCAAGCGGAAAATCTACGCTTTGCAAATATTTACATATACCTACTACATACGACTGGTTTTTCTAAGTGTCGTTTGGCACGGATGCAAAAAAAAAAAATAAAAAATCAATGCGTGAGCTTAAAGCTCTCTGCGGTGCGCGTGTCGTGCGTTATATAATAAAGCGCAAACCCTCGCATTATCGTCCGAGATTTATCAATGAAACGAGACGCAAACGCGAAGAAATAATAAAGCAGCCCGCGCGCGCGAATTCCCATGCAGGGTAATTCCTCGTAATTTTTCATAATCTCCGCCGCTGACCTACTCCCGCAGTGAAATCGCGTTTCGGCGTCCTTGCCGCGCGCGACCGGCTTTATCATCGGCAGTTTATCAAAGCGGCGCTGCTCCGGCGGGCAAATTAAGGCAATATATTAATATGTGTCATAAAAAAAAGCGCGCGCACACGAGATCGTCGTGGACGCACGAAAGCTCTCAGAACGCTAAAAGAAAAAGCACGCGCCGCCACTGCAGGACGATGATAAAGCTGATTGATAACGCGGTTTGTCATTAAGTTTACTTGCGACGCGTCTTGTTTTCGTGCGCGCCGGCGAGCGCGATATCATCTCCGGGGGCGTGAAAAGGCGCTCGGCGACCCCCGTCTTTAATGATAAGACGCGAAGGACACGACACGCGCCCCGAACATGCGATCTAGTCATCCGCGCGCACGCGATCTTCCTCTTTGCCTCTTGGCCGCCATGGGGGCGGTTGTCACACGCTCGCAATTACGCCGGACGCATTAATAAGGGAAGCAGTGCGAGCGCGAAGGCGAACGCCAGTGAAAAAGGACGATAAGACATGGCGATAAGATTGCGGAATCCTTGAGTTGGTCGACGATGCCGCTACCACCACCACCGCTGCCGTCTTTATCGATGTCGCAGGTGAGGCGGTCGGTCGCATGTCTCGCATGTCATGTGATTTACGGGCGGGACGCGGCCTCGTTTTTCTAATAACGCCGGACGTCGGCTGCTGGCCAGTGGTCGTTGCCGCCACCACCGACACGTGTGCATTGCGTACATGTGCGTACATGTTGGTGTGTCGCCAGCGCCCACGGATGGAAAAATTCAATAATCTTATGACACTTTCGTGCGCCGACCGCAGGAAGGCACATCTCTCGAAACAAAGAGCCACACGGCGCGCGAGAGACTTTTTGCTTCGCGTTCGTTTCCCTGCTGGCCTGGTCTCTGCTCTTTCTTCTGACTCGGCGCGTTTTGTTGGCGTGGCGTATCGGCAATGCAATGCGGGCATCGCGCGCGCTTATGCTTATAAGGTTTCTTCCTTCGCGAGGGCCCGGCGCGCGCGGGACGTGTCTTTTGTGTAAACATTCGTTCCTCATCTTTTGTTTCGACTTGCCAGGCTAGCGGCCGGGCGCGAGAGTCGACTCCGAATGCCAGCGCGCTTTTCAAGTGCGTTCGTTCTCTCGGCGTGGTTATTTTACGTTTCGGTACGTGAATGCGCGGGACGGCCCGCGAAAACATCGCATTGTTTTGTCGCGGACATCGCGAGGCGTTCAACTTCCAGCAACAACAAGAGACACATTCACGATGCAAACGCTGCGGACTTATTCTAGGTTGAGCAAATACTCCCTACTGGAATAGCAGAATCATTTTTTGAAAAATGCGAGAGAGAAAAAAAAACAACAACGTATTGAAACATCATGTTCGGTGCTTGTACCGCAACTCAAAGCATTGTCCATGCGTCAGGCGGCCGGTAAACGCACTGGAATTAAAGTTTCATTCAACGGGCACTTTATCAAATTATGGAAACTTGACGAACGCATCATAAATTTAAAGTTTTTACGCGCATCGCGCGCGCCTGACGCTCGACAAACCTGCTTCGTTTGTTCGCCGCACGCACAAAGCGAAGCTACAAAACCTCGCAGCGCGCCCGTCGCGCCTGTTTATTTTTCGCATCGACGAAACAAAGGCGTCGATTAATCGAAAGTTCAAAGCGCGCACATCGGCGCGACAATCGACGAAGCCCGGCAAGCGTCCCGACGCGCCGCCACCGCCCCACACCGCTCGCACAGCGTCCGAAACGGTAACATCGCAGTGCGTCATCAAAAAGAAGCCTCGCGCAATTAACCATCACCACCTAGCTCACATTAAAATAGACAGGATGTTCCCTTCGGACTGAATTCGATCTCGCCCTCCTTTGTTGCATCCTGCACATCCTCTGCATTGTTTTTGATGAATGCGCCTGGCGCAGACAACATTGAACATAATTAAGACGGAGGAGGCGCACAAAGAGATAAAACAGGTGAAAACGTAAGATAATACAGATGTGAATGTCCCGGAAACGGTGATGGGTATCTTCGTTTCGTGCATTCAAGATGCCGCCTAACCTTGTGCCTCCGTGTATACAAGGTGTTTAATAAATTCCACCCGCAAATATGTGTAGCAATGACCGAATTTTATCGATTGCTCGCTCGCTCGCGCGTGCAATCTGCGTGCGAATTGTTTCTATTGATCCGTCATCATAGCGCACGTTATCAGCTTTGCGCGTTCGATTTCACGAATCGCTGGGTGTTCCGCTCGATCGCCTTATCGGCGTTCACCTTTCTCGATACTCGCGAGAGACGTTTTCTAATCGGAGGTGCGCCGCCCATTGGCCGCAGATAACGGGACAATCGGCAGCGCAGTTAAACATTATCTCGTTCATTCCGATTAGCAGCCGATTACCGGCGATTAATCCGCGTCCGCGCGTCACCTGCCGGCGCAGCGCGGTCTTAACTTCGCCGCCCCCCGCTCCAGCGCCTCGCGCGCCGGAGAACAATCGGCCGTTAATTTAACGCGATGCAAAACAATGCCAAAATTATGGGATACATTATCGTCGAATTATAAAGAATTATTACGTCTTTTTTCGACGATAATTACAGAATTATCGGTAATTATCATAAACTTTTATGACGGACGCAAACGCTACATTTTGTATATTTTATATTGTTTATCGATTAAGTCGCCGAGAACATTTTAACGCCTACTTAAAATGCCATGTGAAACATTCACGCCCCAAATTACATTTTTACAAACGTTAATCATGTTTTAGTCAGAGGCGTCGACGATTTTCGGAAGCGGGCAAAAGCAGTTTTTCGCTGAATTTCCCGAGGTGAACGTTGATAAAGACACACAATAAAGATTAATGAGAAAACGCGACGTGCGCGGTTGCGATTCGCGAGACGCAACGGCGGCGCAGCGCGCACGAACGCCGGAGATCGTGGATTCTGATTTGTATAGAGCAAAACCAAGACGAAGGCACGCCAGTAGATAAGCGGCAGCAACTGCCACATAGTTGCATCTGCACACGGTTAACGCACCATACAGGGTATCGCAAAAATTCGCCACAAAGAAAGTGCCTCCACACAAAACCAGCAAAACTTGGTTGTTTTGACGTTTGAAGTTTGTTCAAACAATTATCTTGTGGCATGCATGACTTTGTTTGTTTTCAACCAGAGTAGACTGTTGCTTTCATGAGTTTCTCGACGAGTTGCCGGAGAAATTTGTGTGAAATTTTCGAAATTTTGATAAAGGAAGACTCACCTTGAGATGTCAGCTTCCTGGCGATGCTCTTACACCTCATGATGGACGACGCTGAGAAGGATAACACTCGCGCACATCCGACGTTGCAGCCGCCAGCCAGAAAGGGTTGTAACGTGCGGGGACGTTCGTTCACTCGGGAGTCAGGCGCGTGACGGTGTACGCGGCAGCCCGCAGGATCAAGTTTTGGCGGCTCGTCCTCGCGCTGAATTGAGGTTAGATGCGGGCTCGCGGGAGGTCCTTTTCGGGCATGGGCCGTTCGCGGTGTGCGTGGGCGCGCGCGGTGCGTTCGGACCTCGGCGAGAGCGCGACGTGTCTCGCTCCCGGTGACCGCAAATAAAGACGAGCGACCGACGAACAAACGGAGGACACACACGCACGCCGGGCGCGCCGCGAGGCGTGCGATGCGCGAGGCGGGCGGCCCCCCCGGCTCCCTCCTCGGCTCCCTCTCCATGGCCCGCCGCCTGCCCTGCGGCCGCCCCGCGCCGCGCCGACAACGATGACAAAAACGCGCGCGCGGCGTGGCAGGGAGAGGCGAGCGGAGACACGCGCGCGAAGAAGCCGCGCGGCACGGCGCGTCGCGGTGGGCGGCGGCGGTCGCGCGCGCGGACATCGCGTTCGCTCGCCAATCGCGACGCCGCGGTGCGAGCTCCCCGCCACGCGCCGCGCTATCATCTCCTATCTGCGAGCGGAGCTAGTGGATGGTACGCGCGCCCTCACCGCGGCCCCCCGCCGTCCTGCCAGTGTGCTCTTTTTACCTTTCCTCGTTACCTGTGCGATCGTCACTTGCCAGTCAATTTCTACGCGTCGTATTTGTATTATGGTTCCCCCCGAAAGTCAAATGACTTTCGATTGCTCTCGGTGCTGCGGGACTGCTACTGACATGCCAGCCAGCCAAGCTGATGTGCTTAGCCGGATTTTTTTTTAAGTGCAAGCTTGCATTCCCCCGTTCGACTGGTACGAGCTTGCACCTCGCGCATCTCAAGCCAACTTGGGGGCCGGGGAGCCGCCGGAGAAGTGGCACGCGTGCGAGTACGCCCACATTGCGGGCCCGCGCCCCGCATGCTCCCCGATGCGGGGCACACAATCACAGATAACGAGTCGTCGGGACGACGGCTGATCCGATCCCCCCCCGCGCTCAGGCATCTCGCTGCGTCCTGCTTGTCCTCAGTCCTCCGTCGCGGAGTATCGACCCGCGCTTTTTGCGCTTTTTTTTCTGCAACCACTCGATTTGGTCTCGAGCTCTTTGAGCAAATTTTGTCTAATGTCACAGAAAATCAAAGCAGCTGAGTTTCAAAAGGATAAATGCGAATAATTTCAATGCATATTTGCATTTAAACACATTTAGGTACCTCAAGGAATTCAACTATTTTTTGCGTTGATTAATTGGAACACCCTGTAGCTCGCGGGTCGAGCATAATAAAAATTGTCATGCAATCTCCGGCGGGCGAACAAAGCCGAAAGAATCAGATAGCGACGTCCCAGATCTTTAACGTGCCTCTTATGTGTCATTAAAATGAGAAAATCGTTCACGTTCGAGCCGGGCCGGTAATGGCCGGCCGCAGCGGCGGGGGGGGGCGGCGGCGGCAGCGGTCAGATGCCATGCCATTATGGCATACATCACGAACGAATCCTTCGCTGCTCATTTTCCTTCGTTTCCTTCGGGCGGGCGGGGGCGGTTAATTTGCCGTGCGCCTCGGTGGCCGGTCCCGCGGTCCGGTCGCTTTTATGATTACGGATTGCGTGTCGGGGGCGCCGCACGCCGCGCGACACGAGGACACACGACAATGACGACGAAAAGAAAAGGAATATGACGTGATTTTATGTAAATTTCTTTTATAGCGGCCGGGGGCGGCGTCGGGCGGCCAGGCGAGCGATTAAAAATCACGGCTGGCCGCACGGCACGCCGAACGCGCAGAAATATGATTCATTTGCGGCGCGCGAGCTGGTGTTATCTGTGTGTGTGCATCTACCCTTTCGGTGCTCCGGGGGGGGAGGTGCGCGCGGGGGCCTTCGGTCACCGCGATGGTTTATGACACTCGCGCAACCGCGCTGCGGTCAAGCGATTCCGTTTACTTACCGCGCGCGCTGATCCTCTAATTAGATAATAACGTAATTTTTTCCCCACAAGCCCACACGCGCTCGCTGCCGGGGTGGGTGTGTGTGCCCTTTTTTTTCCTCTTCTACCCACCCTCTGCGCGCGCGACGCTCGACACGAAGTTATGAAAATCAATGGCCAGGTATGAGGAATCACGGCACGCCAAACATGACAACATTTATGCACGCGCGACGTTTCGTTACGTTTTTGATATTCCCATAAAGATTGCCCCCGAAAATCACTCGGGGGGGGCAAAGAAAAAAATGAATAACTCGAGGCACGCTAGGAACTCACCACGAATATTTCATACCTACAGCTATTTCTATTCCTGCAAACTTAATAAATACAAGGTGCACTTTTACAGCGCGCGAGCGCAAAAATTCAAATCACGAATGTCTTTGTTGTGCAGTCCGGTGGCAAAGTCGGGTGTCGCGAGTCGCAGCTGGCCTGCGTCCTACCGGTGGCGGGGGCGGGCGGACGAACCGGTCCGGTCCGCGCGCTTGAAACAAACCACGCATTCATCATGTATGAATAGGTAATAACGCGTTCGAATGTTTACATTTTCGGAGTGCGCCTGCAGGCTGCGTGCATCGCTGCAGCGCGTTTATAAACGCGAATCATTATGATATGTTAATTAATGTTAATTAGTTATGAACTTATGTATATATGGCGCTCACGCGTGCGGCATGCGTTAATTAACGGCGCTCGGGCGCGCTGTATTAAAATTTACGATGCGTTATGCACGGCTGCAAGCGATTCGAGAGCATTTGCGCTTGAAAAATGCGCCACGTCCACTTGAAAGTATGTAGAATGTAAATATGATTATTTTATTGGACGACGACGACGACGAGGAGAATTTCGAGTGCGTGAATGCGTGCGCGATGGACACACAGCGTCTAAGAATAAATGAGTAATAAAATGTGCGCGCGTTCGAAATAGCCGGGCCGTAGCGGGCCGGTCCGTAAAACGCGGCCATCGGCCGGCCGGTGGTGTGATAGGCGAGATCAGGTGCCAGCAGGGGCCGGGAGTGTCGATGCCAATGTCTCTTTCGGTCCGCTCTGGACACGCTCTGGTTTGACGAGCGCAGTTGTGGCACGTACCTAATTTACGATTTTGACTCATGCTCTCGTAGGAGCAGGAGCTGCAGCTCCGGCTGCTGCCCGGCTACTCAATAGTAGAACGAGAACGTGGGGCGCGACCGATCCGCGACTGCAAAAAAAAAAACAACGCAACACACATTCTTCAGCAGGAGAGAATATTTGCGTGAAAGAGCAACATTGTATTTTCTTTAATTCTATTTCCCCCCAATTCTTCTCTCCACACTTGTACTTTATTACGTTTCATTGTTATCCGGGGGCCGAGAACCCGCCGCCAGTGTAATGAAATATGTGTTATGAGTTTTGTTGCTCGGTTTCTTGGTTGTGGTGCGCGTCGGCGGCAATATGTGGACGCGCTCGTAATTTATCCGCCGCCTCCGTTGTCGCGATGCGGAGAAATTTCGATTTCTTCGGACGTGCGCGGGTTGCACGTCCCGGCGGGTCGGAATATATCGTTGCGCGGGGGCATAATACGTGCCTTGGTTGCCTCCGCTGCCGCCTCCCTAGTAGCAAAGAGGAGCGTCGCTCCGACGGCCAGAGGAAAAGTTGCGAATTTATGACCGACCGAGGGATTTCTAATTTTTCTTTTTGTTCGTAATCAAACTTCGATCATAACTTGCAAACTTAGACAGAGGGAGGAGATTCATTCCCGGTTTGAGACTGATGCAAATCGAAGATTTTTTTTGTTCTGTAATGAGTTGTTTCTCATGTGAAAAAATGTTTGAATGTTTAAAGTTTGAAAAGACATCTGTTTCGATGTCACACTCACACCCAACTTGGCGGCCCACTTTCCGAAGTGTGAAATTCGTTTCCGCACAGCGCGCCCGATCCAGCACACACATCTGGGAGGAATTTGAAGGGTGGTTGGGCGATTAGTCGCGTCTAATTAATATGTGTTTAGTTCGTAATAAGTTAAGCGGGCGATTAGTCTGCGGTTTGATGGACGTATAAAAATCGCTTGCAACTTTACCGCCAACAGCTGTACCTATTTGTGGGCATCGAAACGTTCAAACTGAATAATTCCTGCAGTAATGGCTGCGGATCCATTTAAAAGTTAACGACATCCACGGATGGTTAAGCAGATAGGTAGACGCGGAGCGAAATCCGATTCGTCGCGCGTCGGTTGGCCGGTCGGCTCCGGCTGCGGCCTGCGGCGCGATAAAATCGATGCCAGCAGGATGAGAACAGTGGATGAGCGCGAGCTTGAGCCGAAGTCGCCGGAGTCGCGTTTTGACGTCAATACGATGTGCTGTGAAGCGCGGTCGAGGCCGCGCGCCGCACCCCGCGCCTCACCGCCGCACACTCTCTGCCGCTGCAACTCTTCCGCCGCCCCGCCGGCGAGGCGTCTTTATCTTCGCGCACAACCGGTCGTCGCCAAGACGACGAGGCTCGCTCAGCAAACGCGCTCCCGTTCCCGTTCGCCGCCGTTTTCGCATTCTCGGCGTAAACAAAACGAACGCGACGAGAAAACAAACGCGAACGCAAAGGCAAACATTCGACGACGTCAAACATCAATTCCAGATGCCCCGGCGAACCGCGCCAGCCCGTCGTGCGCTGAAAGAAAACAAAAGTCAATCATAACTTGTTGAAGTTGCAGAAAATCGCCTCGAACATGTTTCATTCTTTCTTCATATATATTTTTTGCTCGCCAGTCTGCGGTATTCATTTGTTTGGTTTTGGTCGAGTTATTTAGTTATTCTTGGGGCTTCTGGACGGCATCCAGCTAAATAGGCGGTTGGTTACCGCCTCGCCATTTTGTTCGGCTGCTGTGGGAGGTGCCCGTGGCGCTCATCCTATAGATAGCCAGATATCTGTGCGCATCGCTGCTCATCCTCGAAGCGTAGGGACAAAGGGTCGGCCGTTGCGGGGAAGGTGCGGTGCGCGGGGGTGCCGTAGTCACGGCGACCGACTGTGAAGCACGAATCGCGACTCGTACGAAGAGTTCGACCGGTTTGTCGGGCATGCGCATACATCGTCCGACCGACAAGACAACGCAGAGCGCATCGGATATTCTCCGGTCTCCAGTCTCATTGGAATGCCTCGGCACGGGGCGGCGGGGACGGCGGTGATGCGCGGCGAATGATAGCCTGATGCTTCTTGGAGAAATGACGCCCTTTTTGGGGAGACTAGATTCCTCCACATCGACCTGCACATCCTGCTCATCTTGCATTCCACCAATGAGGAACTTCTAGAATTTTGACGAGGGTACCATGATAATTACACTATCCTTTGTTTCCAGCTCAATAATTGATTGCTTCGAAAATATTTGTTCTGAGGTTGCAAGTAGTGTCCGGACGTCGACGTGTTTATTAATTACAGCCCTTCTATCATTATGTAATCAATTTCGTCGCGTTAAGCGTCCATCAATTAGACAGGCCACCTTCTGTTTGCTCAGGTTGCCTTCGTCGCGACCACCGTGGCTAATTATGCCCCTTCACCTTTATTTGTTTAATCATTTATTGATACTGAGTTACATTTGCCGGCAATGACAATTAATTGATGTGTCCGTGTCTCGTGATCGGCACCCCTTGGTCAATTTAAGGGATAATTACGTGGCCGGTGTGTGCGTTTGGTACACAAAACAGTGAAAAGTGTACATAAATGTTAATGACCTTTAAAAAAATTGATGAATCAGTGAAGGGACATAGATCTATCTGTTGTTTAATTGTTTTAATTGTTTGCGCAAATAATTACGCATTGAGTTAATTGTATTTGGAAGCTATTTCAATACTGCTGGTACCCCCTGGACGCGAAATTATGTAACTACTGCTTCTTTTCGAGACTAGATGGCGGTGTATGAAGATATTTCACAGTTGTCTTACACAGCGATTTATTATATCCAAACATTTATACATTTATACATCGAATTGTAAGTTCATCCTCTTCAGGACATCCTCAGCAGTGCGTTTTACCTTATCCTCTTTGGTGGTGCCCGTCTGAGCCAGGACCACAGCTCCGTCTTTCAAAATTGCCGCCAACGGTGCCAGTTTCTGAGCCGAGAGTGACGATAAAAGCTCAAGGCAAGCTTCCATCGTCTCGATCCTTGTTTGTCGGAAAGCATCAAAATCTTCTTCAATTGAATGGGATCTTTGTTGCTGGATCTCTGGGGGAACTGGTTGAGGAGGCGGCAATGCATTAGTTGCGCTAGGCATATCAAACGGATTTGTTCGTTTTTGTTTGGTCTCCAGAACGTTCTTCGCCACAGTTGAAGATGATATTTGTGACGTGATGAACGGAGCCGACAGAAACTGCGATGACTGATGCCGCAACGTCATCTGCAGTAATGTGTTTGTATCATAGGATAACTTCGGCGGAGTTGAAGATGGTGGCAACGGAGCTACCGTAGGTTTCTTGATCTTCGCTGCCATTTCATTGGTCTCATCATCGGTGGATGTAAGGATTTTATCTTCCCACGTGTCATCACGGGGATGATAATCAGGGAGGACATCTTTTTCTAGATAACTAGCACATGAATCACTTGAACTAAGACTGCTGCGTCGTTTGGTACCCTCTTCTTCTTGTTCTTCCTCTAGATCTTCGTCTCGGCCGTGATCTCCCTCCTGGTCGTCATCATCTCCAGCAAAAGTGAGCCGTGCGTAACTCTCACATAAAGTTTCCCACTTCCTTCGTAACTGTCTTAAGAACTCCTCTACGTAGTCCAGGTCAGTGTACAGGCGACCTTCTTTATCTGCTACGTCTGTTTCAAGTAGCTTCTTGATTTCTCCAGATGTAAGATGGTATTTGTCGATACCATCCAGAGCTAGCTCCACTAGAACAATTATTTGTACTACTTCACTTGTATTTGCCAGGGTGTACAGGTTTGCAGCTCGTGGTAAGTTGCCCACTTTTTGCACGAGGAACTTGAGTCCAGGACGTAGGTCGAATTCCCTTGCTCGTTCGTTGGTTACCTCGAGACATTTTAGCAGCAGATAGATATGACGTGCGTCTACCCGACGTAGGGTACCACCTAGATTGGAGGTGACGTGTAATATTTGTAGAATTGGAGTGACATGGCGCAGATTTTGCAAGAGTGCACTGCTGATGGTTTGCATCAGCAGTTGGTGCGCCAACAGTCCAACTACTAGATTTTTAAAAGGCACCCTCAATGTGAATAGATCGGGGGAGGTCACCGCGGCCATATCCATGGGGTATAAAAGAAATACATATGACCTATCGTCTGCTGGTACACATGTATCATCAGCGGGTATGCTAGGTGATGCATTCTGATACGTTTTGACTGCGTTTGCGACTGTGGGTGCGTTCAGGTTTTGACCCTGGTGCAACTTTACGAAACTTTGTGATATTTTACCCTGTGGCGCGTTGTTGTTCTGCGCATGTGCAAAAGTGGCTCTATTATCTAAATGCTGCGGATAATAATTTGTGCTGCGTTGTGAGGTCATCAGAAAGACTTGGGAGCCTAGTTCGTACACCTTGGGCAGGTTGTCATTTGCTTTGCGGGCAGCAACTTTTACTGTTGCCAGATCACCATAAAAACTGTCACTGTGTGCTTTGAATGCTCTGGTTAGCTGGGTCAGAGGACCAAGGGTAACCGTACAAGCCCGATGAATGGCAAGGGTCAGAATTTCCCACTGTCGGCTTGTGAGATTTTGACCCAGAGCAAGAAGTAAATGTCGTACGCAGGACACACCCAGTCGAGCAACACCTTCTTCTTCTGTGGAGATAATTTCAATCAGTAGAATAAGGAGTTGCTTTAGAGCCAGATCTATACAAGAGCCACCGGTGTTTGATTGGAGATTAGTATGATCTCGTTCCATGGAAAAGCTTGAAGCGACAGAGAGGTACTCAACTACCAGCTCAACTGTCATGCCAATGCAATGCTTAAAGTGCAACCAAATACTTTCCGAATTTTGGTGTTTTGAGATGTTTGTTCGTGAATTAGGACTAGTTGGTTCTGTGGGTGGGATAGTGGTCATGGTTTTTACATTTCGCCGGAGCCATATCTGCATTGTGGGCAGCAGGAGATGATTCACGCAGTAAAAAGCAAAATTCCTAATGGGAAGAATACTTTTCAGGATCTTGAATAGCATTTCTGCTTGGCCGCCCTGGACTCCTTGCACGGCGCCATTTGGACCCGCCAAATGTAGATTAGCTGTAAGTCCTTCCAGCAAAATGTACCATACCTTGAGCAGACCATTACTGCCTTTCTGAGCATCCATTTCCCTCAGACTAATCTGTGCCTTTAAGTCTTCCTCCAACGAGAGGAGCTTATAACTCACAGGACAAGACTGTAAATTTATGCTGGGATTACCGTTGGTATCTTCGGTGCATAACAACTTTGAGCAGTTCTGAATAGTGTCATTTGGCAGACACGTGTCTACAATCTGCGGAGCTGTTTCAATACTCATCCGATGTGTCAGGTTGAATCGCGGACATTTAGGCATGGTGTACATTGCGGCTAGGATTTTCGAACAGCTTTCTATCAGCTTCAAGCATTCTTGGGACATTGATACGTCGAGCTTCTTTCTACCCAACATGTCTTGCGATTTTTCCAAGTGGTCATCAGCGTCTACGCTTGCAAGAGTTGCGGCAACTTTAACATGTGCCAAAAGACACAGGATATAATCTAAAGCTGCGTTTGCAAACACTAGAGTATTATCAGTTTGAAGAAAAATGTAGAAGATATCCAAAATTGCGTTGCCAGCAGATCCTCCCATTTGCAAGGGCTGGGTGGGACCTCCCCATGTGGAAGCTGTGTTGCGAAGAGTTGCAAATAAAGGTCGCCATCCCGAATTGATTTCCGAAGAGTTTGCTTCAACAAACTCGCAAAGTGAAGCAACAATTTGGTCCAAAACGTCCTGGTCACAAATCTCAAGACATAGGAGATTCTCGAAAGGTTTAAACAGCGCCTCGTTAAAGTGGAAGTGCGGTAGTTCCGACTGGTCGTTGAGTACGCACGTGATAACATCGTGAATAGCAGCAATGGCTTTCTTGGAGACTTCACGGTCTTTATGGCAAGCGGCTTCCATGAAGTGAGGACCAACGATAGACCAGATCTTCATGGTATGAATCAACGGACGTCCAGAGCGGATACACTTTAGCGTTACCTCTCCAATTCGAAACAGAAGCAAGGAAACTGGAGGTTTGTGAGATGGTTCTTTCGAGGTACGACGCCACCAAGGACGACGTGTGCCCAGAAATCCAAAATTGGAGTGGGTTTGAGATGGTGCGTAGACACCTAAGGAAGCGTGTGTTGAGAAAAGTTGAAGGTGAGATGCTTTGCAGAGTTCCGTGAGGAATTTTAAAAGAGCAGGTAAAGAGAGACGTTGGGACGCGTTGTGGAACAACTCGTCTGCTTTCGAAGATAACACACAGCAGACTTTAGCTGCGTGTACACCGGCAAGGAGACCACTACCGCGGGAAGTATTTAGAACACCCGACCGTTCCACAATTTCCGCTACTGTCGTCTCTGATGAGGAAGGCGTAGAATTATTTCCGTTCTGGGGAACGTTACCGTTATAGAAAGGATTGTTGGTCTGCAGGAAACTGTATACGTCAACCCTAAATAAAATAAACAAGATTTTATAATTTTGCCTGAGTTGATGTTATTCTATACTTACGTCTCTTCTTCAAGACAATTTTTCTCTGATTTATCGTCAGGTCCGTTGCTACTGGTGTTGTATGTTGTAGAAGTGACCTGATTCTGCTTCTGTTTGCTCTGTGCTGTTACCATAAGCAACTGGGCAGCGCCAGTCCTACTGAACAGTGCGTGTTCCAGAGCGGATACTGCCACACAAGCAGCAAACACATGGGCCCAGCACTGCTGACTATGAACCGCCAGATCCAGTCCTTTCGAAAGCAGTACGTCTAACGAAAGTGCATGAGCCGCTAGTAATTTAGGACCTGTGGTGGTCCCGGGCATTGAAGGAGATTGAGAACACGCGGATGATGATAACAAGCCCAGAATACTACTGCTGCGTGTTTGCAACTTGAGGGTGTTACTCAAACTTGCAGCTTTCTGTAATCCTTCTAAACTGGCGGTTATAACATCATCTCGCAGACGTTGTTTTAACTTTTGTCGTCCCCGGCGTGCAACCAGTCGTCCCAGAGAAGATGTGGTTGCTGCACCAGTTGCCGAAGTTGCTGGTGTAGGCTCTCCAAGGCCAGCGCTTAACACGGCCACCACCGACTGCCAGCAGCAGGTGAGGACGCGCCGCGCTAATTTAACACCAGCCTCTGCTTCAGAAGATGTTTCCGTTTGTCCTTGGTGCACACGTTGTAGTTTTTGCCAGTCGGTGAGCTGTTGGCTGGGGCATAATCCACCCACATCTAAAAAGACAATAAGAAACGTAATACCAGCTCAGCAGATAATATTTACGCCCACATTTTCGCTTATCTCTTATCATTTAATCATGCATTACTCAAATTTGAACGTGAGATTTCACTTCATAACATGCATTACAGTTTTACTGTGTAATATAATGGTTAGTGGTACCTGTTAACAAGCTTATTAACGCTGGTTGTTGCGAACTCTTAGAATCGTACCCTGCTAGTTCTAAAAGTGACTTGGCAAGGACGTTTTGATACAATTCGCAGAGCCAAGTAGCAGATACATATACCAGCACTCCGCTACCATGTATCTCATCAACGAATTGCGCCTCTGTCATGATTACTGTAGGTGAATCAGTTTCCCCTGGGGCCACATCCGTTTGTGAATGATTCTGATTGCGGTAGTGCCCTTTGCGAATAAGTCGCAAGTTCAAAAGTAGCGCTGCGTATGTTGCGAGATATATACCATCGGCATTTACTATCGGGGTTACCATGTCGTAAGCTTGAGCAGCGTTGTGTTCGCAACATTTTGATGCAAACTCTTGAAGCACCTCATCAATCTAAAGATGTTTTTATTAAAAATATGTTGTTTTTAAAATACCATTGGTATTACCTGAATTGATGATCTAAGTGTAAGCAAATTTGGAAGCAGGATATTTTGAAGCGTTTTAACAAAGTGACGGGCATTGTGACGCTCCATGTCTGTGTTGCACTCATCAATACCAGTGCGTCCTAAGTGAAGACTTTTTGGGATGTTATGCAATTTTTGTAGTTGTTGGTTTGTGAGGAAACTCTCATCGTCCATGATGCTGTCATCTTCATCATCGTCATCACCTCCTGCGTCGTACTCTTCGGGACCTTCAGTTGCACCGGAAGCATCGCTATCGTCTCCATCATCTACATCACGTCCACCTCTCTCAATTCCAGAACTTTCTTCCGAATCACTCGCGTATTTCAAATTAGCTACTACATCTCGATACGGTTTTGGTAAACGTGCCAACGACTGGTACGTCAGTGGTCCTGTGTAGTCAGCTTGATCAAGTGTGACATAGCGTCCATTGGCTACTTCGGCAGCTTCAGCGTCCATACCTTCTCCTGTAGCGCACATTGCTTCAAGTGATCCGAGAAGAGCACAAACACACTCAACGCTTGCCAAGAGCACACCCACATCTAAACAAGCTGCTGATTCTTCTATGGAGTCCATAATCCTAATACAAAACAGTTAAAATAGTTTTTGACAGATTTTTTAAGAGTATGGGCAAACATACAATCGTATTATGGCCATGTCATCTCCAGCATGGCGATAAATAGGTCCTGTTAGTAATAACAAATCAGCAAGACGTCCGGGGGACCGCAAAAGTTCTTTGGCCGCACGTAATGGTTCCAAACGTTTTGAAGGCGCAGGTAACAGGAGCATTCGATGAAAAAGTGCTTCCAGAACCGGACGCAAAGCACGTTCACGGCCAACTAGACGTACCACTTGAATCCCAATACTGGGGAAATAAAAATAAACATCTGTAATGTTTTCTGCGAAGGTAGATTTGTTCAGAAATTTAGTTTACCTGTATACGATTTTTGCTTGATGCGTGGATAGACCTGGATCATTTGAATCTCCTGGTGCTCCTAGCAGGGCAAGCAGGGCTGGACAGAACCTTTGCCATAAAAACGTGGTGAAGTGGGTGTTAGAATGTACCGAAGGAGGAAGCGCTCCTACTAAAGTCAACAAGCATTCCAATAGGAATACAATTACTTCGTTGGACTTTGGAACACTGTAAAAATTCATAAGAATGAATTACCATCATTTGTTTTTGGATTTGATTGAATGGTTACGCTTACATTTTCATTTCTTCTAGTTTAGAGCAAATGTATTGCATGACAGGGATTGCCTCGTTGAAACACGCCACTGCCGAAGTCTTATTGTAAACCATTTCGGCACTGCTTCCGGAGTTACGATGCTTTGCTTGTTGCTGAAGGATTTCCTGGCATTCTTCGTCTGCGAACATGATATTAAGATAGTAAAGTGAATAAAACAAGGATAAAAATTAATTCTTTACCAAGAAAAGTGCAAAAAGCTGTTAAAGTTTGGCTGGCGGCAGCTTGAGCGGCGGCTCTTACTGGCTGCGTACCACATTCATAAGCTTCTCCACACCGTCCCACCAGCAACATGACCAGTCTTCCATTTAATGCCCAACTGGATGCGCAGGCCATGGAAAGGATACATCGCAGAATGTGTACCTGACACATTTTCATTATGATATATTACAAGGAAACGTAATAAATGAGTTTCTTACTTGTGTGTCATCGCATTGCGTCAACATGGACGAAGTGGCGTGTAAAAGTTGCGATGGCAGCCAGAGAGAATCATCTTCCGGTTCACTTCCGGCTTGGAAGCGCTCATCTCGAATAATTTTCTAGAGTGGTACAAAAATAAATAGCGATTATTCAAATTTATGCGGTAATCACTTGAAGTGAATTGGTCATGTAACAATGAAAATTTGAATACAGGACTTATGTAACTTACAGCGAGTCCACTCAGACCTAATGAAAGCAGTTTCGACTTTTTGGATTCAAGGCATCCTTTGATCGGTTTGAAGCACGCCGCGCGAAGCTCATGAGATGGGGTACGCAACAAGCTGTTTTGGGAGCAAAGGAGATCTATAACAACATTAACAACATTACCAATTTTTCTCAAAGGGACAACATAAAACTTCGTTTATTACGCTTTCAATCGAAGTCTATCATCAAAATATTGCGGGTTTTGGTAAAAATATACAAAATAGAACTAACCAAGGACCTAATTTTCTTACCGTATGCCTCCTGTGCAGTCTGTTTGACGTGGGTCGCCTTGAAAGTACCGCACTCCTTGATGGTATTCTGTAGGAAGTCCTCCATGGTCCTGCCAGGACTTGCTACAGCTGCCGGAGAGTTATTAAAGCCGGCGGTAGCCGACGCGCGGCTTGGACTTTCCGCAGGATCAGCGTGTTTATTGCGTCGCACACTAAACGCGTTTGACGCGTGGGCGCAGGACGAACAGCGCGAATCGTCCTCGACGTGCTTGACGTACGTCGCTGAGAATCAATACTTTCGCGCACGTTCACACATTCGAAACGACTGTTTGCTCACTTTCCTGATAATCAAACACCTGTTCATTCAATACATATTAATTATTTTAATATTACTGTTATAAAATGTAATAATTTGGACTTTTGGAAGGATTTTATTTCATTGCATTGAAATGGAATATTTTTAAGTTAAAAAAACACAAAATTTATTTTTTATTCAGTAAAATTAAAGTTAGTTTATAGGCAAATATTAAAAACTTAATTATTCTTGCAAATAACAACGCGAAATTGTTGATTGCGACATTGTGACGGAAATTTACTCTGTTCATCTTTGTTTCGCGTTACGCATCAACATTGGCGTAGTTTTCTAATGCTTAGGTGGAAAAAGAAATAAAAACACTTGTGCTATCTTTCATAAACAGCGCGAGGTCTAATTCGTACTCGGAATAATAAGTAATTATATGTTGATATTCAACTGGTATTCTTTGCATGTACATTGATAACGTTCATATTACTTGATTCTAAGTAACAATCATAATATTGTAATAATATCAACAATATTACTCTAAAAATAATCATAACCAAAAACTTATTTGTAAACTTATTTAAATTTTTAAATTTAACTGGAAAAGGTGGGAGGTGGGAGATGTATATTGGGTTGCAGACTACCAGACACATTAACAAACATTTGCATTTTAATTTTTATTTGTTTAAAAATCGCAATAATCGAGTGTTACGTGAAAGTCGCTAATTTAAATATTTATATAAGTTGTAGATTGATGAATACCAAACGTGGAGGACGTGTACTGCTGGATTCCCAGACGCATTCATCTGTCTACATCATATCTTTATTTATATCCGAACATCAGAATTCCCACAAAAACGATCAACCTCAACATCAAAGACATGGAAATATAATATGATTCACAAGCAGTGCACGGGCAATGAGTGAGTTCAACCGATCCGGTTTTCCCCGCGGCTTGTTTTCTTGCCGCGCCGCTCGACCAACGCGCCCTCCACACCACAGCGTCGCGCCGGCGTCGCCTTGGCTTGTTTCGCGTCTGCAGTCGCGAATCGTCGCCGAAGAAAATGCGGTGTGTCCTCTGCAGGTACTCCCGCGAAAATTCCGTCGTTATTTGAGCCGACGACGTCTTCATCCACCGATGCGATGGCAAAGCAAGAGTGAGCCAAGTCAACGACGTCGAGGAGGTTAGTTTCTTGAATTTTTTCTCATATTTTCGCGTTTTTCGCTTATTGTTTCATTCGGCATCGATAACGATCACTATCTAATCATTTCGGATTACCACCTTAACGATATGACACTTTTAGGCTGCATTGCAGTAGAAACAACAATAACAAGAAGCACAATCCACATTGCAATATGGGTTTAACTCAGATGGACCAGAGTTATCACAATTACAACAAGAAACACCACACTGAATCAATCTCAGTATTTAGTTTAGCTGATAATAAGAAGGTGGAGGACACTGCCCAGGATGTTGAAGAAAATGGAGAGCTGACATTGTTTCAAAATCAAGTTGCTGGCCATTTGAACAGTGACAAACATTTTGGTATGTACATTTTGCTTATTTTTAACTTTTTTTGCTGATAGTGTTGTCATGGCAACATAATAGGTGTTTGTTTAATGTTAAGTTGGTTGGTAATTGTGTAACATACTTTGTTGCTATCTTACGCGCGATTTGTTTAACTGTAGTAGTTTATAAACATACATTGTTGCACAAATCAGCATTAATGATGCTAGGCGCACTTATTCTTCCGGGCAGATTTGTCTGCAGTGTGGAATTACTCACGATTGGAAACTATGAAAAAATGCATGGAATCTTGTTGATTTTACAACTTCTGCTGAATTGTTTAGTGTTTGTGTTTCCGATTCGCTTGCCGACTGAATATTTGTAAACTATCTCTCGTTACAATGCATTATTTTCTGCTATAAAACCAGTACGGTTATTACGGAGAGTTCAGTCGGACGGCGCGTCGTCATGGAGCTTGGAACTTCTGCAGTTCAATTAACTAATAGTGGTTTTCCGATAGGTATCATCAAGTTCAAGGAGGCTCTGCTCAAGCCAATTCCGAATCCGGTGTACTTTAATCGTGAGGCAAGTTTCTACGAACATCTGCAATCCATTGGTGTGGACGAATGTGAACCGGACGTCTTAATCAAAAAACTGGTGCCTAAATTTTTCGGTCGCAGCGTTGTTCAAATCAACGGCAGTTGCGTGCAATGCCTTGTCATGGAGGATCTTACACGCGGCATGCGTGAACCATGCATCATGGATGTTAAGATTGGGAGGCGGACTTGGGATCCGGAAGCCACACTCGAAAAAATAAACGGCGAAGATGTAAGTTTCTTAGTCAAGTTATGCGTTTTAAACTGACATACATTTTTTAGGCAAAATATTTGGAGTCCAAGCGTGAATATGGTTTCTGTATTCCTGGATTTCAGGTCTATGATGTGAAAACCGGTGCTATGCAGAAGTTTGGCCGAGTTTACGGCAAGCAACTTAATAAGGACACCATAGTTGAATGTATGTAATAAATTTTTATTTATGCAAATAATGTTTTTGGCTCTTTTTCATTTTAGCCATGCGTTTTTTTCTAAACGGTGTTGGTAAACCAATGCGTCGAATTCTGGTCGTCCAGCTGCTGGTAGATCTGTGGCATATTCAGCGCTGGGCACGCAAACAGCGTCGTCATCGCCTTTATTCTTCGTCGATTTTGCTCATCTATGACGCGCGACGTTTGCGTCAGTTTTTCGACGCGAGCTCCAAACCGCCGACAGGAACAACCCCGCCTGAAACAGAGTCTGCCTGCGGTTTGCGCCGTACGAACAGTCTTTATCGTCCGCTTAGTCTCGCAATACTCGATGATAAATGTACGAAAACCGGATTCAGCGGACAATTAACTAAGGAAGGTCCGATTTTTCCATGTCGTGCTACAAAATTTAATTCATCGTTGCCCGCTCAGGCTGTGGAGGCGGGTAGACGACGACCGGCTGCTAGCTTGAAACGCATGCACTCGTTTCATAATAATTACGATGAGGAATTGCGTTCAATTCGTACTGATTACGCGAATATTCTAGAGGATCTTGTCGACGACTGCCATAGTGAAGTGTGGGCCGCGGCGCGTATGATCGATTTTTCGCACACCTTTCCGGCTGACAGCATCACCCGCCCGGATGTTAACTATCTGGACGGTATCGAAAGCCTGGTGAAAATGATGGAGGATTTCTTAGCGGAGAGCGAAGAATAAAAGTCCAGTATTTTTGTACCTAGGTAAATATCACTTATTACTTAAGCAATATGATCAGGATCATGACAGAGGGAACAAGGGCAAATGCAAAAGAGGATGTAAAATTATACCTTAATTTAAAACGAAAATATTCATAGATTTATTTACACACAATGAATTAAAGCAATACTCAACGCGAACAAGTTATGTTTTAACTTCAATCTTATCAAAGTATTCGTCAAGTTGTGTCCATTGTGAGCAGTGCGATGAATGGTAGCTGGCCGTGTCCTCTTCTGAACTCAATGATATTAGATCGGTACTGTCCTTGTAGGAGACCGATCTCGATCTTGTTTTCGTGCGCTTTTGTTTGCGAGCACAACGGGAACGAAGAGCGGCTTGCCTGGCCAGCTCTTGTTTTCGATCTTGCTCTTTTTTTCTTTGACGATAGAGCCGTCTCTCCCGGCGCATCATCATTGCATTTCGCCACGCTAATCGTTGCTTTAATCCTTCTTTTGCTGCTTGATCAGTGTCCAGTGAGTGCCTTACTCCCGCGGTCATTGCAAATACCTCACTGAAAAGCGATTCCCGGAACGATTTCGTTCGTTTGGAAATCTTCGGCATTTTTGTGTGGTTTTGCACTTTAGGCGAAAACGTCTACGTATTGCAGGAATTTATTTTTAAGAGTTCTTTATTACTAAAAGGAATTGCTTTCGTACAACAGCACTTGAATTTATCTCTTAACCTATACAATGAATTTTTTACCTTACAGGATTGCTTGTAGTCTAGGAATTGCACGTATTGTTGATTTTTGATCCATTGTTTAATCGTTTGTTCGGATGTTTTGTGCCCCGAGACAAGTTTTGAATTTACAGTTACCTTTTTCAGTACATAGCTTGGCGCTACCTGAACCCGCCCTCGTAGGGTTTTTATATCGGACAGTGAATATTGGAATTCTTTATTATTTTTATATATAACATTTGTAATTACATCGCCTGGATACTCACGAAAATGCTGTTTCTAGTTTAAGGCACTAATTTTTGTTTTAGGGGTGTAACAAGAAAACCAAACCTCGTAGGGTAGCCGTTCTTGTATCAGATTGTAAGTATTGGAATTCTTTATCATTTTCATAATTAATATTTATCAATAACTCACTGGAAACTTACAAAAATGGCATTTTTCTGTTAAGTTAGTTGAATTTGTGTCCATCCAAATAATTCGTTTCTTCCAATGTTGGTAGTTGTAGTACAGTTCCCTGCAATATAGCGTTATTTTGGACCACCGAAATTAGATGGTGCTAGTACCGCTTTTGCTTGAGACTGGTTTGGGTTCCTAATTCTAGATGACGTAGTTATGAGAACCAGTCGTGTCGGTATCGGCAGGCAGCTTGCCACAGATTGCCACAGACTATTATTTTGCTTACTCAGTCGGTGTTGCGCTGTGGTTGCATGTGCACGCGCGCTATTCGTTTTTATATTAGCTCGTGGCTGCAACATATTAATATAAACATTAGAATCATTTGGTCATCGACTACGAACTAAATGATTTATCGCGAATCGACTCCAGAATTACGATAGTTCACCACGTGTGCCTGTGTATGCCAGTAGTTGGATCTCTTCCGTTGGGCTACGGATTCCAATTTAATTTATTAGTCGTGTATAGTTCGTGTGGAATGGTTGCCAGGACCAAAGTAATACTATGAGTAGTAAATTTTTATTGTTTTTTGGAGTTTTGCTGCGGAAGGCGATGCTGTAGGACAACAGTTCTTGCATCAGATTGTAAGTATTCAATTTCGTTATCATATTCATTAATATCTTAATATCTTTTGTGATTAGCTCATGAATTAGTGACAGAAATTGCATTTTGGTGTTTCAAAGGACTGATTTTAGCTGGTTTTACGCGCTTTGCACCTCAACCAGATATAGTAGGAGAACTATTCTTATATCAGATGGGAAGTATTGACTTTCTCTATAATTTTCATTCATAATTTTTGTGATTAATGCATGAAACAACGACAAAAATTGTATTTTTGTGTTTCGAACGACCAATTTTTGCTTGTTTTAGATGATTTGCTCCTGATGCCGACATCATAGGAGAACCATTCTTATATCAGATTGTAAGTATTGAATTTCTGTATCATTTTCATAAATAATTTTATTGATTAGCTCATAAATGTGGCGAAACAAGTCGCAGAGTGTTAAAAGTTTTGTGAAACCCTTAAGGTTAATCCTTTCTTTCGACGATTATAATGGAGTTTCATCATGTAAGTGCCTCAACAATTCAATGTTATGTAGTAAAATGTTATGTATAAAGTAAAATTTATTTCTGTTTAACTTTTTAATTTTTACAATTGCAATTGCATTGCTATAATAATACTCGTAAATGTATATGATTCCTCCAATAAAGGATAATTTTAAATTATATTCTCTTGTTCAGTCCGAGTTTTAGTTAATTTAGCGAATTAAAAATGAATTAAAGTCACGAATCACAGCGCATCTGATTTGTGTTTGTTTTTAGATGTCAAGGAGTTGAACGTGACCTCGGTGTACAATTGTGCCCGCATTCAATTGTGAGTATCGAAATTCTTATCATTTTCGTATCTGCTTCGTTCACGTAGCCAGCTATATCTTTTCCTTCTTTAGTCGATCGTGCGATGTTGTTCGGTACACACGTGTTTTGTTCACAAGTCGATCTTCGTAACTAGTTTGTGCGTTTCTTGTGATTTTCAGTCGGTAGTTGAATTAGAATCGATCAGCAAAGATAACATTTAGAATTAACGGACTAGTGCGACATGCAGTTAATGAATTACCACGCGTGGAAGTCAGAATTATGTAGTTTTACAATGTGCACACGTTTTTGCCGTCGGGCGTCGGAGAGCTTACGTCGGCTAAGAGGCCTGTCCCAGTGGTTTTATTTGCGTAATTATATTAATTTGTGAAACTAAACACTGTTAGCCCCCGTGTGGAACATTTTAATCGAGAAAGTGCACGTAAGTAACTGCAACATTAACATTCGATGAATGAATTAATTAGTGAAGATGTTTCATGGACGAAATGAATTTATCAGACGTTACGGAAAATCGAGGAACAGAATAAGTAAATACTCTGAAAATATAATTCAATTTTAACAAATAATTTTCAATTTCCACATGTACTTTTTTGATTGTACGAGTTGCAATAAACTATTCTTTTAATATTACATTTGCTTGTATATTTGTATATGTTTTTCCTTTTTGTTGTTTTCAGAATTAGATTTAAAGACCACATTAGATAGTACGTGTTTGAAATGCGAATAACAGGTACATAAATGCTGTTGTTTTTAAAATGATAACAAATCAACAACATTTATACCTGAAACGAATAAGCTTTGATATGAGAGCTCGGTGGCTCAGCTGGCATGTGTCTATGCTAGCAGGCTAGGGATTCGTTGTTCATGGTTCGAATCTCAGTTGTAGAAAGAAGTTTTATTAAATAATAAGAAATTTAAGAAATGTGGGTTGCATACCATAAAATTATAGATTCGAATGTTAGAAATAAGTTGAAGATGTAAGTTGCAGAGTACGGACAACAATAGGAATAAGTAGAAGAAGATGGTGGAAGAGAAAGTGAGTAGAGAGAGAGCAACATGAGAGAAGAGTATAAGAAGAAAAGAGAATTAGGGGTGACGGAATTTTTAAATTTTTGGCACGTGTCGTTATAAAGTCACAGGTCGATCTCCCACTGCTTCGATGCGTCCATTGCTCCCGGCCCATCCTACAGCTACGATGTCTCTGCGCTTCATCCCCGAAATACTCAGGCATATCAACAATTTTTATGGTGGGGATCACCCCAGAGAGAGGAACTCCTTATAAGGACATCCTTTTAAGGACTTGTAAAATATTTCTAATTTTAAGTCGCCTCAAGAGGGACACTTAAAAATAATCCCTCAAGTTCTGACCTGCAGCTGGAATGAAAGATGGAGAACACAAATCATACAAGATACCTTAACAATTTTTATAGTGGGATCATCCCCGAGTGGGAGAACTCTTAGAGACCTGGGCCTGAAATGATAGAAGGGGTACACAAATCAAAGAAGTCAATATATCTTACTATTTATTTATTAACAATAAAATACAAGTTTATATTTTACAAGTCAACAGAATACATGTCGCCATTTTGAAACAGGACTTACGACCTGCATCATCGCGCACAAACAGGCAAGTAGCAAATTATAAACACTAACATATAGGCACTAGAAAATAACTATTTATCACGGAAAACAAATGTACAGGGTGTTACCAAAAGAAAAATCATACTTCCAAAGGAAACTTGCAATAATAACCTTACCACATTTTTCGAAGAATGGAAAAGCGATATACAGGGTGTTACAAAAGAAAATCTACAGTTCAAGAAAGAAAACAGTTGAAAACAAAAAATTGGTCAAGTATTGATTGGAAATGAAGGAAAACAAATATATAGGATGTTGTCAAAAGAAAATGCCAATTTTAAAATGAAAATGGTCTGGCGAAGAAAAAATATCAGGAATTTACCAGGTTTTGATAAGGGAGCAGGAAAATGTAACAATTTTCACAATGGAAAGTGAAGGAAAATGCAAAAGAAGGCAACACAACACCAATACCACTACATTTAGAAGTAAATACTAAATCGCTAGAAGAAAACTAAAAGAAAATTTAAGTTGTTACCCGTTTTTCCCTGCATGGCATAAAAATAAAGGAAGGGAAAGTAACAATTAAGAAGGTGACAATTATATTTTCTTATATTTTCGACGCAATATCTAAACAAAGTGCCGACCGATGGCACGCACGCGCGGAAGGAAACATTAAAATCGCGTATTATATACATTTTACGGACAGTAATTAATTGTCAATCTACTAGAAGTATCAACGTGATTACAGAATAAAGATTGCAAAATAACAGAAAAATGTGAGATGAATAGATATAGTAAAACCAACTTTCTGCAGCGAGGCCAAAAATGTATCCGACGGCTCGCGACAATTTTAAACTATAACGATATTTTCACTTCACGCGATTATAAAACAAAATGTAATAATGATGCAATAATATTTACAAACTTAGCCCTATATCGGGTAGTCTTGGAATGCCCTGAAACAAAATAAAAACACATGTCTTAGAACTCGCACTACCCTGTGAACTAATAAAGTCCATCCCGTCGGATAATAGACTTGCATTACAAGCAATATTATGCGCGTATAACAGAAAGTGTTACATTCTGGCAAGGACAGATGTTGATTACACGTTCTGGTAATTAACACAAATATAAATAATTTTAATTCCCATTCTCTGGATCAAACTAATCTAATGGCCGAAGGATCACTAACACACAATTAAAGACACGAGTTTTTTAAATGTTGAGCGCAAATCAATAGCAAAACCCAATGCACATCTATTATCATTAGGTGCTGATTTTAATCTATAAAACATAATGCAATTCACTGAATTGAAATGAAAATAAGAAAGACGGACCGCCGCGCGCCGATAGGAACAGACTGAAACGATCGAACGTTCATAGCGTGCACACTCAGCATGTGAACTAGTTCCATGCAATTTGCGCGATAAAAAAGTTGTTTATACACAAACCCCGATAAATGGGCAGAGTTGGAATTGCAATATAAAGATGTGTAAATATACTTCTGCACTCTTCTGCACACATTCACAAATTTCTCTATAACTGACGAAAAGGAATTATCTTGCAATAAATTCAAATACAGAAAGAGTCAAAATTAAATTCCGCATCTGGGGAAATTATTCCGAATACACTGTGACAGCGTGTTCGTGTGTTGTATTAGAAAAATACAAGTCCTAGCGCAACGAGTACTACGGCGCACATACACAACTTTCAACATAACTCGCGTTACGGAATTTTCTCGCAATAAATTTCTATACAGGGGATACAGAATTAAATTCACCATCAAGGAAAATTATTTCTAACAAATTGTAACACCGCCTTCGTGAGTTAAAACAAAAAAACTACCATTCCTAGCGCAACGAGTACTACGGCGCACACACACAGCTTTCAATGTAACTCGCGTTACGGAATTTTCACGCAAGAAATTTCTATAAGGGGAATACAGAATTAAATTCACCATCTAGAAAAATTATTTCGAACTAATTGTAACACCGTGTTCGCGAGTTATAACAAAATAACTGCAATTCCTAGCGCAACGAGTACTACGGCGCACACACACAACTTTCAATATAACTCGCGTTACGGAATTTTCCCGCAATAAAGTTCTATACAGGGCGATGCAGAATTAAATTCGCCATTTATGAAAATTATTTCGAACTAATAGTAACACCGGGTTCGCGTGTTATAACAAAAAAACTACAATTCCTAGCGCAACGAGTACTACGGCGCATACACACGACTTTCAATATAACTCGCGTTACGGAATTTTTACGCAAGAAATTTCTATACCGGGGGATACAGAATTAGATTCACCATCTAGGAACATTATTTAGAACTAATTGTAACACCGAGTTCGCTAGTTATAACAAAAAAACTACAATTCCTAGAGCAGCGAGTACTACAGTGCACACCCACAACTTTCAATATAACTCGCGTTACGGAATTTTCACGCAATCAATTTCTATACGGGGGGATACAGAATTAGATTCACCATCCAGGTAAATTATTTCGAACTAATTGTGACACCGGGTTCGCGAGTTATAACAAAATAACTACAATTCCTAGCGCAACGTGTACTATGGAGCACACACACAGCTTTCAATATAACTTGCGTAACGGAAATTTCACGCAAGAAATTTCTATACAGGAGAATGCAGAATTAAATTCACCATCTAAAAAAATTATTTCGAACTAATTGTAACACCGCGTTCCCGTGTTACAACAAAAAAACTACAATTCCTTGCGCAACGAGTACTACGGCGCACACACACAACTTTCAATATAACTCGCGTTACGGAATTTTCTTGCAATAAATTTATATACAGGGGGATACAGAATTAAATGTACCATCTAGGAAAATTATTTCGAGCTAATTGTTACACCGCGTTAGCGAGTTATAACAAAAAAACTACAATTCCTAGCCCAACAAGTACTACGGCAAACAAACACAACTTTCAATATAACTCGCGTTACGAAATTTTCTCGCAATAAAGTTCTATACAGGGGGATACAGAATTAAATGTACCATCTAGGAAAATTATTTAGAACTAATTGTAACACCGCGTTCGCGAGTTATAACAAAAAAACTACAATTCCTAGCCCAACAAGTACTACGGCAACAAACACAACTTTCAATATAACTTGCGTTACGGAATTTTCATGCAATAAATTTCTATATATGGGGATACAGAATTAGATTCATCATCTAGGAACATTATTTCGAACTAATTGTAACACCGCGTTCGCGAGTTATAACAAAAGAAACAACAATTCCTAGCGCATCGAGTACTACGGCGCACACACACACAACTTTCAATATAACTCGCGTTACGGAATTTTATCGCAATAAAGTTCACTACAGGGGGATACAGAATTAAATTCGCCATCTAGGAAAATTATTTAAAATTAATTGTTACACCGAGTTCGCGTGTTATAACAAGAAAACTACAATTCCTAGCGCAACAAGTACTACGGCAAACAAACACAACTTTCAATATAACTCGCGTTACGGAATTTTATCGCAATAAAGTTCTATAGAGGAGGATACAGAATTAAATTGACCATCTCGGAAAATTATTTCGAGCTAATTGTTACACCGCGTTAGCGAGTTATAACAAAAAAAACTACAATTCCTAGCGCTACGAATACAACGGCAAACACACACAACTTTCAATATAACTCGCGTTACGGAATTTTATCGCAATAAAGTTCTATACAGGAGGATGCATAATTAAATTCACCATCTAGGAAAATTATATAACTGCAATTCCTAGCGCAACGAGTACTACGGCGCAAATACACAACTTTCAATATAACTCGCGTTACGGAATTTTATCGCAATAAAGTTCTATACAGGAGGATGCATAATTAAATTCACCATCTAGGAAAATTATTTCGAACAATTTGTAACACCGCGTTCGCGAGTTATAACAAAATAACTACAATTCCTAGCGCAACGAGTACTACGGCGCACACACACACATCTTACAATATAACTCGCGTTACGAAATTTTCTCGCAATAAAGTTTTATACAGGAGGATACAGAATTAAATTTACCATCTAGGAAAATTATTTTGAACTAATTGTAACACCGCGTTCGCGAGTTATAACAAAAAAACTACAATTCCTAGCGCAACAAGTACTACGGCAAACACACACAACTTTTAATATAACTCGCGTTACGAAATTTCGTTGCAATAAGATTCTATACAGGGGGATACAGAATTATATTTACCATCTAGGAAAATTAATTTGAACTAATTATAACAGCGCGTTCGCGAGTTATAACATAATAACTACAATTCCTAGCGCAACAAATACTACGGCAAAGAAATACAACTTGCGATATAACTCGTGTTATGGAATTTTCTCGCAATAAAGTTCTATACAGGGGATACAGAATTAAATTCACCATCTAGGAAAATTATTTCGAACTAATTGTAACACCGTGTTCGCGAGTTATAACAAAATAACTGCAATTCCTAGCGCAACGAGTACTACGGCGCAAACACACAACTTTCAATATAACTTGCGTTACGGAATTTTCTGGCAATAAAGTTCTATACAGGGGGATACAGAATTAAATTCACCATTTAGGAAATTTATTTGGAACTAATTGTAACACTGCGTTCGCGACTTATAACAAATTAACTGCAATTCCTAGCGCAACGAGTACTACTAAAATTTGACCGAAAAATATAATTGAATTATAAACTTACCAGTGTACAGATTATCGGACTGCCAGGCATAACGAGTGCTGTAACTAAACGTAAACATTAATTAATTATGTTATAATTAACAATCAACACTAAATATACAATCTGTGCTGTTTAGTTAAAACAATACTTACACGAGCCTGATGGATCTTTCTTAATGGGGGCGACATATATCCGATTAATTTAGTAACCGACACCCAACACAACGCCGAGTGAAGAATGTTATCAAATCTACTATCTCGTGACTTGTAATATACATAACAAACGCGATCAAAACCGGCATTTGCGAAAATTAAACAAATTACTATAATTGCGAAGTACAAATAAATAGTCGATTGATCTTCGAGTATTACACAAATTTAGAATATTGAAGTCCGAATAATAATAAACGATATACGAGTAAGTCTCTCAAAACACGACTGGATTAACCAGCGACCGGCTCGAAACTGGCTGCAAACCACCGATAGTGCATGCCGAAACTGTGTAAACAACGACGGACAGTATATGATAAGAAAGCAAGAGGTGCGCATAGACGGCGCGTCGAAGGCACGCGACCTTGTGTGCGAATTTGCATTACCTGTGATCTAAACTACACTAGACTTCGCTGCATGCAGCAAGTTGATGCGGCGCTTGGAGACAGCGCGCGGGGCACATGCGTTGAAAACGTTGTTTACACCAAATCGCAGATAGCAGTATTGTGTACAAAAGTATTCTCGTACCCACGATTGTCGGTAAATATAAAAATAAGCCGTATATTTCCTTCCATGATCAACTTATCAATAAAATTAACACATTGTCGAAAGTGTAGGACGTATTATAATGATTAAAACCTCAATGCGATAAAGATAGAAAGAAACGAATCGCCGAATCTTAATCTACGGACAATTCTCTATAAAATAAGACAGTTAAATTAGAAATCTAAAGAATGGAAAATTCTCTATCAGATAAAAATATAAAATAATTATATTTTCTACAGTAAAAGCCGAAAATGCGACTAAAAGTGCTAAAAGTGACATTTTCCAATTTTTGACCATTTTTTCAATCGCGTATATCTCGTAAATTAAAAGAGATAAATAGGATTTGATCGCAGCGTCTTAATCTACAGACCAATCTCTATCAGATAGGCTATTTAAAGCGGAAATCTGAGAGATGAAATTTTAATTCTTAAGAAAAATTGCCAAGATACTTTTTTCGACGATTTTTGATAATTAATATCTCTTAAATTAAAAACGATAACAACCAACTAATTGCTGACTATGAAAGACTGGAAAATTCTCTATCAGATAAAAATATAATAATTATATTTCTTACAGTAAAAAGCCGAAAAACGCGACTAAAAGTGCTAAAAATTACATTTTTCAATTTTTGACGATTTATAACAATTGCGAATATCTCGTCAACTAAAAGAGTTCTACGGACAATTCTCTATAAAATAAGCTGAAGGGGTTTAGCTCTTGCGCTATCAGAATTTTACAAAGGTTTTCCGAAATATGATCCGTTTTCCATATTACCATTATGTGAAATTTATACGGCCCCCCTAATTCGTGGGCTATTGCAATACGCAGGTGAAATGTGATAAAACATTTTAACCGAATAATATAATTTACTTATAAACTTACAAATGCAGCGCTCCTCGGATTGCAAGCGTACGGCAAGTACTGTAATTAAAAGAAAACATAAGTTAAAACAAAAACATTTCATACAATATGATAATATTATATTCACACATGGGAGAAAACAAACTTTCTGTGCTGAGTATCGCAATGGTCAGATAAAAGTAATTTACTCAAGCACGAATAGGTTTCCGATTGATCTAGCGATCGGCCACGTCCCACAATAACTGACAATAAAACCGCAGCAATGTAATTTGAAATATAAACATCAAAAGGAAGCAAAAAATAACATTTATGCATATTAAACGCACAATTACTTATTAGGAAAACACTGCAGATGCATATTACGACTAAGTCGATTGATGGCCGAATATAATGCAAACTTTGAAAATAGAAGTCTGATCAACCAAAACGAGTTGCGCGATTTACGTCTGGATACGGCAGAGGCCGGCACGAAACTAGCTGCAATGCATCAGTAGAGCATGCCGAAACTGAGCACGCAAAGATGCGACAGTTCACACCCTGTGTCTGCTGCATAAACCCCGCAGGTACAAGCAATAGATGCGCAAAGCCGGCTGCGCGTCGATGGCGATATCTGTGATAAGAACTAAACTAAAATGTGCTGCATGCGCGACTTACGCGTAGCTTCTCGCACGGCGAATGCGATAAGAAAGTGGTTTATACACAAACGCTGATATGATTCGAAACTAATACAGTTCTATTTTATGATTTTTAGTTCATGCTAGTGAACTAAAATTTAAATCATGAAATTATGATTTATAGTTTGAGTTTTATTGAAGCAAAGATTTATGCAAAAGATATCAATTTTCTAATTGTAAGAAATCAGAAAAACAGATACAATGAATAATAAAAATTTTACTTACCAGTGTATCGAACACCGCAAATCAAATGTGAGTAGATACTGAAATAAAGAAGAAACACAACATTAGTTACACAATTTCGGACAATGAGTTCGGGCGGAACCCAAAGTTTGCCATAAATTTCGTCTTGTTCTCCATAATTATTTAAATTAGTATTTGTACCAGGTATAACATTGAGTCAACGAGTTGTGCAGAAGTCAAAAATGGTTCGCACAGTTCCAAAATATTATTTATAATCACACACAACGTCTGCCGGCCGGCGTCCGACGACAACCGATCAGAAATCCACGCGAAAATGCGCGATAAATATTTACCGAACGACCAAACACGGCAATTAACACTAAATTCAATAAAATATAACGCGATATACCGAATTTACAATGAGAAACACGAATACTCGACGGAGTATTCTTATCTGCCGCACGAAGTAAGAGCTGCGTGCCGGCATCACAACTGTGCACGTCGACTTTCACTCGCAGGAATATTTTTAGTTAAAACATGCATCGTTGCGCTACCTGAGAATACTTTATTGTACCTCCAGAAAATACAAAGCGATTCAAAAAGTGTGGCGTACATATGAGGCAGTGAGCGATTGCCTATGTGTCAGTGAGTGGTCACGCACTTAAATGGCCGTGTGCGTGTATCACACGTACACGAGAGTGCGCATGCACCACCCTATCTAAACAAATAGCAATTTTTACACCTAACTCAAAACTTCAAATGTAGAAGTCAATAAGATATACTTATTCAAAATAATTGAATCTAATTATAATATTATTATAATTATTATTATATTATTAATTAATTGTATTTATGGACGATATTCGACAACGCATATCATCTAAACTAAAAGAGATAGCAACCAGAAAATTGTTGATTACGGAAGATTGAAAAATTCTCTATCAGATGATATAATTAAATAAATAAAATAATTTAATTTAATTGTGTAAAATGTCTAAAAACGCGACTGAAAGGGCAAAAAATGCAATTTTTCAATTTTTCTACGACCAATTCTCTCTAAAATAAGCTAGTTAAATTGGAAATTTATGAGATGAAATTTTAATTCATAAAAAAAATGGGCAAGGGGGGGAGGTGCTTGATAAATTATTTCCACGATTTTTGACAGTTCCCTGAATACGAGTCACTTCTATCGCTACCCTCATACGGCGCCCTGAATGGGAGTTACTTTTACCGCTAGCTTCGTACGGTACCCTGAACACGAGTCACTTCTACCGCTGCCCTTGTACGGTGCCCTGAATACGAGTCACTTCTACCGCTACCCTCGTACGGTGCCCTGAATACGAGTCACTTCGACCGCTGCCCTTGTATGGTGCTAAATACCACCCAATGGAGAATTTAATTCCGCATCTCTAAACACCGCGCTGAAGTTAGTGAGCCGCCTAAATCGCGCGTAAACCCGAAAAAATACAAATATTTCATGAGAAATGGCAAAAAGCTGAAACAATCAAATTATATGAAGGATTGGAAAAATCTCCATTAGGTAAAAATTAAAAATATGTCTAGAAAAAATTGCACCTACAAAAGGAACACCCCCAGACACAACTAATTTAGTCAGTTTTTCACTTCAGAGAAAGGAAAAGTACCTAATACATACGGTGATACAAGCAGAAAATTATTGCATTTAATAAGAAAATTCCAAATTCTGACTGAAAAGCAATAGAAGGTGTCGTAATAGCAATACAACAACATTTTGAAGAAATATGCCGGCCGATGGCATCTTCTCCACACACGTGAAAGTAAATATAAATCGTCGTTTACGCATATATTACTTTTAAAAATTAATTGTCAAATTTCTAAAATCCGTTAACGCGACTGTAGAATTAAGAAATCAAAAGAGCTGCGAAAAATACGTGCAATTAAACCTACGATCGACATGAAATAACCCACAATCTGCAGTGAGACTGAAAATGCATCCGACGGCACGCATCAATTTTGAGTTACTACGGTACTGCCGTTACAAGCGATTTAAGATAAAAATATAATTATAGTATGAAAGCGTTTACAAACTTACTAGTACATCGGATAATTACGGAAAGTACTGACACAGAAATAGCAATTGTTCTACAACACGCACTATGCTGGACACTTATCAAGTCCATTCCGACGGACAACGGACTTGGAAGCAAGTGCGATTTTGATCCACAGTTCTCCCGTAAAATCTCGTCATGGACAAACGTTAATTATACTTACTCGGACTTATCAATAGGAACATATTTTTTATCCCAATTCTCAGCATCGAAAAATCCAATAGCCACAGATCACTAATGTACAAACACATGAGTTTTCATTTCACGCGTAATTCAACTTTATCAAAACACTGGACACGTCTATTGTCATTAACTGCCGATATTAATTGATAAAATGTAATGCAATTCATTTGATTGAAATGACAGAAAGAAAGGTGCGCAGCCGAGTGCATATAAGAGCAGACTGAAATGTTCCAACGTCCGTAGCACGAGCCCAGCGCGGACATGCGACAGAGATAAAAACTTGTTTATCCTCGTACCCGACGAACAACGACAAGCGTGTAGGGTCGGCTTTATTTTGTAGTGTAAGTATCAGAGTGGTATTTAGTATGTTATTTTTCAAATTGGGATTAATTTTAAAAATTTGATCAATCTTAGCAAATATAATTATATATATTACACCGCCGTGCGTCCCGGCTATAAAATCTTAGCTTGCCATAAATTTGACAATTCTGTCAGAATGCCTAGCAATGACCTGCATAACCTTCTGAGCCTGTAATGTCAATAAGAGGCAATTCCTCCTGGCCCATCAATACAAAAGAGTTTAATAACTTGGACGAGTTCTTAACTCATCTTCCCACAACTGAATCATTAGACACACCTTGCATTATGGCCAGTCAGTTCGACTTTGAACTCCTCCAGCTCCAGAACGCAGAGATAGAGACCACACCACCATCGACTAACACGACGTCCATAAACCCCCCAACGACGAATAATCAGTATGATGAAGAAAGAAGGTTAATGCCACCCCCAAAAACAATTCCAAGACCACTGCCAAGAATACCACAACCGCTCCCTGGGCAAGCCAAAGTAGTCGTTCATCGTGCAATATTCCAGCAGGGGGGTAAACGTTGCCCTCTTTTTACCATCACGTCCAAGAATAGGTCTGAAATTAAACGACTCCTCGATGAATTTGTACGGACGTATACGTCTTCAAGAACTTCACGTCGCCGTAGGGTATATATCAGAGTAAGAAGAATAAGCAGAATACAGAATACTTTATACTAATATGACTTGGACTTCTGGTCCAACTCAAGCTCAATATTAAACGTGACTTTTTATCCTTTGACTTTTGATTTTATTTTTATATTGCAATGTGGGGTGTATTATGATAGACGCGTATGATTGTGGTATTTTTCGTGTTTACTGCATTTGGCATTTTGATATGTAGTACCTACGTGTTTGTGCAATTTGTGGAAATTTGTGTGTAGCAATATTAATTTAACCAAGCTGTAATTTTAGACAATGTACCATCACCATCACCATGAAAAAGAATCTTCTTTCACACAATTAAGTAAAAAAAAATAATCAAAACTTTATAAGCAAGTCATGCATTACTTTTCAATGATTTCTTCAAAAAAACAATTCAATCTTGACTGCAATTTAATCATTCTGTTCTGTATTATTTCCTCATTGTCATATCAATAACATAATCAGGTAATATCTTCATATTTCTACAATATTGTACAATGCATTTGACTATTGTGAAAGTAAAACATAATTTTCTATTCCCCAACAGCTTCCTCAGTTTTCATACCGGTGCCGACTTCGCCGTGACGACGTTCCCAAATCAATCTATGCTTCTGCTTCATATATGCCGCCTTAACATCGTGATAACCTCCTAAATCGCCATCTAATTCAACCATAAAAAAACATCCTTTAATTTCACTAGAAAATGTTACTGTTTTCACTTACATTTGATAAACCAATTGGTCTCTGCATCCCGATACTGTTCAAGAACGTGCTTGCACTTGGTGAGATGATCAGGGTTTCGTACATCACGCAATTTTCGAAGCGTTGGCGCAAAATATGGATGATTTCAGATTCGACCAAGCGATCTCTCTTATACTGTATGTTTGCCTCAGAATAACAGACCAAATCATCTGTCTCACATTGATCAATGTTGGGCACTCGTCGGAACTTCTGGTGGTACCATGGGTAGTTCTTCTGGTTTGGCACGACGATTTTCTCTGGGGATTGATAACAATTTCAGCCAAAAATGCATGGTTTTCGGTCGGGAGCTGTTAGGTAACAGGGAGGTTGTGCAGGTATTAGGTTAAGGAAGTAAATTTTCGCCGTTTTCAAGCGCTTACCTCGGACGAAAACCACCGGCGTTTCTAGAACCGCGTAGACGGTGTGGAAGAAACTCTCGATGACGTTGCGAGGATGTGAAGAGTCCGGCATCTTCACTATTTTTTGCTAATGTTTTTCCTCCGAATGAAACAGGGACTGCTTTTAATGTTGACTGATTTCACAGACTTCACTTTGGTGTATTGTTGGTAGCGCACATCTAGAAACTAGAATTTTAAAAATTATTTTACATAAAACAACTGTAATTAATTGTAACATGTAAAAATATGATGACTTACATAGAAATAAGTTATTTTTAATTAAATTAAACTAAAAAGTATTTATTAAGTAGAAAATACAAGTCAATAATATGAATGTGTAATGCTGGTTGTCATCCTTACCGCGACAAAGTTAAATTGGTATTGTTTGAAACGAAACGTTTGAGTCGACTTCAAGTGAAAATAATAATGTTTTTGACCAATTGAACGAGGATGTTGTGCACTGCAGCCGAGATTGAGAGGAAGAAGCGGCTGGCCAAGGTGAAACTGCTTCAGAAGCGAACACAACACTCCAGAAACTTGAATGATGGACCTGGAATCACCTCTAACCTTGCTCAAACAAACACTTCTCCTGCATCTCCAAAATTTTTCCCAAAAGCAAAGAGTGTTCCAGGCACAAGTTCATCGTTTGATAAATCCCCGAAACCTCGAAATAACTCTTTTCCAAGTAGTAACAATAAATTCAACACCAAACCATTTAACAATGATCAAAGAATTCAAGCAACTTGCATTCTACTTACTAGTAACAGATTTCAAGTGAAACTATCTGCATATTTCAATGTGGCAATTGAAGTTATGAAAACTATACCCTCAAAATCTTATGGTAAGATTTATTTTTGATTCTGCAAAGAGCATTGATAAAATAGTACTAATTTCTTGATTTTTTTAGACCCCAAGACTTGTAATTGGAATTTTTCTCTTGATCATTATGATATGTTATTGTCAAAGCTTGACAAGTTAAATTCACATTTACAAGTCGTCAAATTGCCACTGTGGATACATAATTTAAAGAGGAAGCCCAAAGATGATTGCTATGATTTTAGTATTATTGATGAAGAACTCAGGAATACATTGATGCCTTTCCAGGAAGAGTCACTATGGTAATGCAGTGAATAGTTATCAATAGAAATGCATATGAAATTGCATTTTACATGCATGAAACAATTTACTTTTGCTGTTAAGCAATTTTAAAATTTGTTGATTAAATTAGTGGTTTTTATTGCATACTTTTTGGCTTTTATTATAGCTTTGCAATTGAAAGAAATGGAAGGTGTTTCATTGCTGATGAAATGGGACTTGGGAAAACAATTCAGGCATTAGCAATTGCAGCTTATTACAGGCAGGATTGGCCAATTCTGATTGTTACAACTGCTTCAACAAGGTAATTTGTATTACTTTATATTTGAACAGATTTTTATAAAAGCAAAAATTACTTTTGTTTTAGTTCAAGTTGGGAGGTGACAATCTGCAAATATTTAACATCCATCCCAATTATGAATGTTCAAGTCCTTGGCTCTAAAAACGACCATATGGATAAACCCACTGTGATAATTACATCCTACGATATGATGACGAGGCGTACGGATCATTTACTCACCCTGAAATGTGGAATCTGCATCTTTGATGAGTCCCATTCCCTAAAAAACTTCAAAACGAAATGCTTCAAGTCAGCCCTAACGCTAGCAAAATTAGCGAAACGTGTTTTACTTCTAAGTGGTACACCAGCCCTATCAAAACCCAGTGAGCTCTTTACCCAGCTCCAACTCATCGACGAATCTTTCTTTATTAACTTCATGGAGTTCAGTAAACGATACTGTGACGGTAAGGAGTCAACATTTGGCTGGGACTCATCCGGACAGAGTAACCTCGAAGAACTGCAAATTGTACTTGAACAGCGCTTTATGATTCGCAGGACGAAAGACACTATAAGCGCGCTGGATCTGCCTGAAAAAGTCCAAGAAATAATTCATTTGAATATCTCCGAGGCGGATTTGAACGTCAAGGAATTGGAAGTATTGAAGGACACTGACATGAAGAAAAACGCCAACAATATACAGCTGATTCTGCCATTCTTTCACAATACAGCGAAAATTAAGATACCAGCTGTGACTGCGTACATAACTAAACTTCTGCAAGAAGAAACGCGAAAATTCATCATATTTGGTCATCATATGATCATGTTGGATGCAATTGAACGCGTTCTGAACGAGAGCTCCAAAGGATTTATACGAATTGACGGCAGGACCACGGACAGAGAGAAACAAGTGAGATTGTTCCAAACTAGTGATAGTGTTTCCTGCGCACTTCTGTCAATCACAGCCGCAAACTCTGGTATTACACTCACCGCAGCGGAAATGGTTATTTTTACTGAGTTGCACTGGACGCCAAGTGTAAGTTAAATATTTACGTTCAGCTAAACTGATAATTATATAACTTTTGTAATTTATTTTATTGGTAGATATTAGCACAAGCAGAAGCAAGAGCTCATCGAATAGGTCAGACGAAACCCGTCACCATTCGATACCTAATCGGATCGAAAACCGTTGATGATTACATCTGGCCGATGCTGCAGAGCAAACAACGTACACTCAACGAAATGAAACTCACAACCGACTCATTCGACAACTTCAAGACAATGAAATGTAAAGCGACGCCGCAAAAATCAACAATAACGAATTATTTCTCCCCGAAATCGGACGCCAAACGCGTAAAACTCGAAGATGTGTTTAATGCAACTGAAGCGAAGAACGAAGTATTTGCGATGCCTGTACCTACAAGTTCAAAAGCGGTGGTGCAAAAATCAGGATCTGTTTGGCGATGATGAACTCGACGACTTTTCTCGAACTATGCTACACAACAAATCAAACCTAAACCTAATCCTGTAAATCTTGAACATTCTAAAATACCTACAAACCCTGATGATCTGTTTAATGACGATATGGATGATTTGTTTAAAGCGATTCCTATTTAATATCCTCGTGAGACTGTACGTGGCATGTACAAAAATATTTTTTATTTATTGGCATTATACATTACTATGAATGTTACATTTACATGTTTGATAATATATTTGCGCTTGCAATTAAGTACATTTTAACAATTAGAATTACAATATTACAAAACATAAACACACGATTGCCTTTGGCCATTGTAGCTTTGAATATTTAGCTCGATAGATAATGAATCAACTTACATTCATAAATAGTTATCAACAACAACAGATTGTTGCGCAAAAATTAATTATTTAATTAACAACAATTGAATGGATTAATGATGTGCATGGATAATTTGAATAGTAGTGATTATGCGTATGACACGCCGTCGAAGTGCCTGTTGAACACCACCTTATTGAGGCTGGTGTCCGAGTGCACTAGACGCTTAATGTGCTTGGCAACTTGCGTGCCGCCACCGCCGCCGCCATCTTCGCTCTTCGTCTCGAAATACTTGCAGATTTCACGTACACCACCGCTGGTAAAGCAGTAGGTAAGATCGTGCAAGGAGCGAGTGCGTTTTGATACACCGACGATGGCCAGGCGAGCCATGGAGACATCCTCGGAGCTGCGGCCACGACCAATACGGCACAGGGACTCAAAGAGCATCAGCTTCTCTTTGACAGGCACGTAGCTCTCGCTGCTCTGACATTTCTTCAGAAGCACTTCGACGGTGTCGGCGTAACCGCTCTTTGCGGTGACGATGTTGTTGTTCACGTTGACGATGTTCTTATTGACGTCCCACTCGTCGAAGTGGATGACTGGCTTGCACGTGGTGCAGACTGATGACTCGGAAGAGGCGGTCGAATCTGGGGAGTATGATGACGATGAAGAAGCATCATCAGAATGAAATATTGAAGTTTCCACGGGGTTGGTTTGATCACTTGATGGTTGCACTGGTTTGACGACGGTGGATGTGGTTGGTTCTTTGGTTGTTAGCGAGAAGACATCGAGGTACTTCACATCTTCTAAGGGAGTTTGACGGATGATTTCGATTGCGATTAGTTTTACCCATAGGTCGAATTGGCGTTCATCTGGTGTCTGCAAAAATAAAGTTGAAATTAAAGAGTGATACTTGACATTTGCGTGAAATCTTCACTTTCTAACATAATGTAACAATCTTGGTATTAAATTTAATTTTGGCTAAACATATTCAAGATCAAGTTTCAGAATGATCGAATTCTATTGATATTTACAGATATTTGCGTTAAGTGTAGACAAAAGTTTTACTTTCAACTTAAATTCAATCAATATAGTCAAAAACAATTTGAACTGTAAGGTTTCATATTACAGAGACCTTAGACTTTACAATATTACAACTGTTAATTGTTTTAGCAAGTAATTCTCGAGTTATTGACATTTGAAGGTTCATTTCAACATTTTCCTTGTTTAACTTTGTTTTCATGGCTAATATTTGTTAGAAACTTATAAAAATTGATATGAAATTAATGTCGATTAATCCGTGTACACGTATATAGCTAGTATAATTGTTTATAACAATTGTTTTTGTATTTTGTTAAAATATCACATTAAAATGTGAAAAATGAGTAAATTGGCAGATATTTTGAATTATTGAGTTGTATTCGCGGTGATAGGCGCAAAATTTATAAAAATCATTTAATTTCTTTAATAGTCATGTTAAAAATTGTGGTTGTCATAAAATATGACATTAGACTTTCCAACGACAGAATTTTTACGCAGTTGTTACTGGTAACATGCGATTTATTGGCTCTCAGAGTAAATAATATTTAAAAAGCGAGTAAAACAAGTTTAAAGTATCCGTAAAGAAAAACTAATGGGATTGTCCTCCGAATAATTGAATTCTGCGTCTTTAAACACATTAAACTTTCGAATGCTGCCATTTTTATGTCCTTATCAGCAATAGTTTCTGAGTTATGCGACATCGACGTGAACAATGAATAAAATAGAAAGTTCCGCGCAAAAAATAAGAAATAAAACAACGCCGCGACGAAAAGTGAAATACGCATCATCTTGCGATTCCGATAATCAAATTCAAATGGCATTCAATCGCAAAAGTGGAATATCACATGCAATTGATGCGCGAAACTGGGCGCAGCGTTGAAATCGCAAATCGAGCGTCGTGCGCCATTCGCTCGCTCGCTCACTGCTAGAGGATGGGGATTCTGGTGTGTGTGTGCAAATCGATTGAATTTATTATTTAGACAATGTGGATTTATTAGGTTCGCGGCGCGCCGTGCGCACGACAACCGGCCGAAGAGATTGTTATGCAATATGCATCGATGTGCACGGCGCTGGTAGCCGTGCGACAGGAGCGCATCCTAATGCAGACGCGGCGACGAGCGCACTGGGAAAATGGCATTCCGTCATGTGCACCAAGACGTCGCTGTACAAGGACAATTGTTTCGTCGAGATCGCAAATCACAAATCACAATCGCAATCGCAGCGGCGCGCTCGATTTCTTTGTTTTCCAGCGGCGCGCTGAGTTAACAGACACGCTTAATCGACCATCACACAGCCGCATTACATTAGTTTTGCGCATGCAAATTAATTCTGTTATGTGATGTGCAATTTAGTCGCGCGGAATGAGGCGAATTGAGTATCATCTCTTAAATACTTGCGGCGCGGTTCCAATTTGGTTTGCCTACGTCCCTCATTCGGTTCGTTTTCGAGCAAGTATGAATAATTTACACAATAAACGAGCCATTTTATAATTCAGTAGGTATACATTTTTGTGGGGGAGGGCCATTAGAGAAGTTTCGCAATAAGTTGAATCGATTATGTATCGCAACGAAGTGAGAAATGAAAAAAGTTCAATTTTAAAGAAAGAAAAATCTTAAAAATCGTAGAATTTCACTCTTACTTTAATCATTATTTTATAAACCATTACATATATTGAAAGCTTTTAAAATTCTCTTTAAATTGATGTATTTTTCTCTTTTGTCGCATTTATAGATGTGGAATTATAAGCGTTTAAAAAAACATATTTAAAAAATAAAATAAAACGTTAATGTTTTTATCCATGAAAAAGCGTACATTTTCAATATTCATTCATGTTTTTTGTAAACTCATAAAAATTAAAATAGAATATTAAATTCCCCTAAAAATTTCCATTTTCATGCTAATTTTACAATTTGATTTATTAATATTTGAATCAAATAATAGTTAAAATTTATAAAAATCTAAAAAATCATTTCTACTTTGACAAACAGTACCAACCCTATTCCTCATTAATAAGCATATAAATAAAAACCTAATTATATTGCCTTACAAAAGCTGCCTATTCCATTTTAATGAGGTTTGTAGTTTTTAAATTATAAGCAACAAAAGTGAAGAAATCAAAAATATCGAATAAAATTCCAAACAGAAATTTTCCACTAGTCCCACTTCTATTCAAGCTATTTTCATCATTTTAATAACTCCCTATTAAATTTTAATACCCCCTAAGCCCCGATGGAGACCTATTTTGCGTCGAAATATATTTCTCAACGTCTTCGCTTCGAGAATCGAAAGGTGTTCCTCGAGTCGTGCGTCGAGTGGGAGCAATACAAAAGAACACCGCTCGCGGGCAACCGTACTATTGAGCGTATATTTTCGAAATCAAAGTAAAAGCATTAAAAGCAATCATCGCGCATTACCTGCAACGTCAGAAGAATGGTCTTGCCGCGCACCAGCGCCAGACTGTTCGGTGTCGAGCCGGCCTGAAGACTTAAGTGCCGCAATGGAATGCGGGTGCCCAGGTCGTTCTGCTTCGCAAGGGAGAAGCATCCCTGGACGGGGCTGAGCTGCAACTGTCCAGCGCGGACCTGCACCCGACGTGGTTGCCAGCGTGGATCTGATCCGATGAGTACCAATAAATCAGCTGCAAATAAAGAGAAAACAATTGAAATGATACGGAAATATTGCGTGCGCATGAATCACATTGTTCGTATTAATGAAATTGATCGCAGCGTCAAGTGGACGTTAATCAGCGAGTTGACTTAAGAGCTCGTATCGTCAACTCGAGCACGCTGTGACTAATCGAAGAAAAATTCGACTCAATTAATTAATCAAATGCTGTAAGCGCGTGCGTGAGCTTATGACAAACAGACATACAAACATTACGTTTGAATTTAATTTCAATGCGTTTTAACGCCGGAAAAAACTGGAATTCTCGCTAAAAAGCTCGAAAATTCGCAAATAAAGTTTTTTGTCTCCTTGTGAGCTGAAATATTTTACATCGCGGCCATGACGTGCACGTGACAAAGGGAAAAGTATGCTGCTTTTAATATTTCTTATTATTATCACTGAAACCACTTAATATGTCCTCGAAGAAACTTAAATGCTGTGAGTTAAGAATACGCTTGTTTTGTGTTCTTGCGCGCAGTGTTGGCTTACTTCTTCGCTTGTTAATATGATTAACAGCTCCGCCGAAGTCTTGCAGTTTTTCACTTTGGCGCATTCGCAGCGAATGTGCATTCGTATTAATAGCACGATTCGCTGCGCTGTTTTATAATAGAAAATACCATAATGGCGTGATGGAAATGTCGAGGAAACGCGTCGACGCGAATTGGCTCGCGAATCGTATTGCCAGTTTCCGTATTTTTCATGAAACGCGACGTCGAAGAAACCAAGTCGAGCGTGCGGTGTGTTAACGCAACGCAGCACTAAATGAACCCGAACTAATAATAATAGGAACGCGTATTATGCATTCGCATTTGTATGAAACAGATAGGCGATAGATAAGCGCACGAAAGTGAAGCAATTTGTGAGCGAAATGATTCATTTATTTGTTCAGACATTACCAGAGAGCAGTGCGTGCAATCTTACGAAATAATACGTTCAATAATTGGGTGGGAAATTCGATTATGTTTTCGGTTGCTGTGAATTGTGTGATGAAGTTATAATTACAAGTCGTGAATTAAAACACTCGTGTTTTACAAGAAAATATCGTTTTAAATGCAATAATCAACAAAAATACAATGGGAAAACTCATTAAAAATTGTTACATTTTCTTTTGTCGTAAAATTTCTATTTTTAAATGGGGATATATTAAATGCACTTTAGTTAAAATACAATCCACTTGAACAGCCGCACTTAAGTTTTCATACTTTGCACTAAGAAATTCATATTATGCACTATAGATTGTATAACTTAGGGGAGACTGGGTACGGTTGTGACAATTTGTGTTTGATTACCAATAGTTTTGTTAATTTACCAGTTAGATCGTAGAAAAGTAACTTTTATGGTAATTTGTACATTTGTCTATACAAGAATGCTAAAATGTTGGCCCTAAATACGACGTATAACTAATAAGATAAATTTAAAAAAAAAAGTCAAATTGTCACAACCGGCCACACACCAAGGACGGTTGTGACAGTGGTTGGGTTCGGTAGTGACATGCAAAAACATACACTAAAATGGCCATTCTCTTGGCAAAAATCTAGTGCATTAATATGAATGTGAGAGGAATGATTATCCAGCAATAGAAAAACTTGATATGTTAGAGAAGAATTTCTTAAAATGTTCGAGAAATGTGAGGAATGAGGCATCCTGCATCCAACCTGAAGGATTTACAGTTCCAATTGATCACACCGGTCCATCTCTAACAAAATGATCATGATAACGTACTCACGGGAATACAAAAAAAGGAGGAATTGCGTTACCTAAGGCATTGACTGCAAAAAAGCATCTATAAGCAAAAAAGAACGACTATAGTAATGTCACAACCGTATCCACAAAATTTGTCACAACCGTACCCGACCCTCTTTTCGAAAACAAAAATTCGCCATGACTTTGTCAAATAATCTACGTAAAAGCAAATGCTCATAAATATCTACCAATGTTCAATTCAAAAGAAACAAAAACAGAAGTAATCTATCTGTATACAAACAACAATAATTATTAAGTGAAGCCGTACAAAAATATTTACTTTTGACTGTCAAAAAGCAATGTGGGCTCCTAGTTACGTTAACGTCGCGCAATGACTGATGCAATACTACGGAAAGGGTTCAAATTTGCACCCCGCTTCTTTATCCTCTTGCACCCTCCCCCGTATGACGTATAGTTTCGTTATTATGACGACTGTCACTACCGTACCCTGGCACAACCGTACCCAGTCTCCCTATATTTTAATACAATGCACTTATATATTCAGGTTTAAGCTTAAATTTGCTTTGAATCAAAATTTTTAAATTGAAACTTTATAATTTGTGGTGGTTAGGTAGGCTACCTTGTTTGGTATTATTTGTGGGGGTTAGGGTGGTCAGGGGTGGTGGTTAGGTAGGCTCCCTTGTTTGGTATTATTTGTGGGGTGGTTGGGGGTTGGGGGGAGGAGTTGGTTGGCGGTTGGGGGTTGGGGGTGGTGGTTAGGTAGGCTACCTTGTTTGGTATTATTTGAGGGGCGGTGAGGGGGTGATAGAAGGGGCCGGCTAAGAGTACGGCACGTACTTAATACTGCAAGTTTTATAAGTGCAAAGTATTAATTTCATAGTGGAAAGCATTTTATTCAAGTGGAATTCATTTTTCAAAGTGCAAATATTTATTTTTAAGTTCAGTTCTGTATTTTTAAGTGCAAACATTAATTATAAGTGCATTTAATGAATTGACAAGTTAAAAATCGAAAAAATAAAGTTCGTTTAATTACATGCCTTTTTAAATTGGCTATATTAATCATTCGATATTTTCCAGTAGGAAATTTAATTCTTTCAATAATTTGAAATATTCAATGATTTAGAGTTGTTTTCAGTGTAATAATTCATCTCAGCAATGAAATTACTTCATTTTTTATTTTATGATGATTTTTGTGACATGTTACCAATTTTAGCTTGTAAATTATAGTTAAAACAATAAAACGCGAACATATTTTGTCCCAGATTAAAAAAAAAATGACAATTAAATTTCAATTTAATATTTTTATATGACATGTGTTAGAAACTAATTAAATTCTCTTTCTATACTAGTCTTTTTTCAATTTCAAATTGTGTCATGTTTCGAAAAGATTAGCAATTGAAGTAAAAACTTGACAAACGTCAATGTATCGTTCTTTGTTTCGAAATACTTTATTTTTTTATATTTCATAAACAATTATTATTATATCTACCATAAACTGATTTAAGTATCCTTCGAATTAAACGTTTGTGATTACTTGAAGTAAAAAATTTCAAAACTTTTTTATTTACCAAAAAGTTTTTACAAATAATTATATTAATCAAAATTTAATTAAATTTTCCCTCGAGTAACTCACTGAACAATATCATATAATATAAAGTTTTATTTTTAATTATCACTGTTTTAAATAAATAAAAATTATTATAAAGTTGCAAGTAAATCAAATCGCGCGTGTTTCTTGCAAAAGTCGCGAGTGAAATCGAATTAATTGCAGTGAATAATTGCCTCGCTGCGATGTGACATTTCCTGGACATTGTTTTAATGCAGTTGCATTGCACGCAGTTGCAAATTAATTCGTCTGACCGATATTTTTAATGAAACCAGCGGTTCACTCCAAAATATGTTTCCTTACACTCACCGAAATGCAATGAAATGCATACAATCGTCTAGCACGAATCGTCATTTCCTAGCATTTCTACCACCAAAAAGCCATTAATAATTCATTACTAGCCTCTTCGCGCAAATTCTCAGCGCTTTCAAACGTCCAATTAAACGATCGTCGTGCGTGTCGTGCGTCGCGCGTCCGCGCTGATAATGATTATCACATTAATGCAGGTCTTTGGCGTTTGTCTTCGCGCGCGCGCTTGTGAGTTTTGAAGAAGTCTCCTTGCGCACCGCACACAATCGCCGGCGATTAAATAGCTGTTAATGAGTCGATAAATTACGCCGAACAAAAACACAATCGAATGGCAATGGGCGACGCACGCAGCACGCGTCCGCGCAGCGTCTTTTGCGCGTCAATTTTCCAGCGCATCGGCTTAGATTTACGGCCGCCGCGTTCTGTCATTATGTAATCAATTAAATGATGCGCGTATTGTGTGCATGTTGCACGTTGTGAGTCATGCGATGTGAAAATGCAAGACATTTCTTTACTTTAATGGCCATTCTCGGCGAATATATCCATATTCAATCGTTCAACGCGCGGTTTCAAAATCGCATATTCTGAAGATACTATTGATGCAATTGAGAAGTTCCACACACGTGATGAAAACTCACGAAGCTACAGAATTAATATGAAATTCGCACAGAAATTATTCCCTAACCAGAGATCAAATGTTCTGTGGATTTAAAACTAAAAATATGATTTAATATTTTCATGTCTTATTATATTGTTTAAAAATTATATTTTTGCAACAAAAAGTAGCCTATGTTTTTCTCCAAAGTCCAATTTATCTCTATACAAAAATTTATCAAAAGTAGTTTAGCGGTTTTCGCGAGAAAGCGTCACAAACAAACAAACTCACATACGCATTATTCATTAGAATTCGTATCAATGTGTGTGAATTTTCGGATAAGTTAACCACTGATCAACTCTGTTGCAATTTTCTCATGTGATATAACTAAAAACTACTCTATAATTTCTATTTTCCAATGAAAAACTTTCTTACCGCATGTAGTTTTACCATCCGACTCGATACTCGACGAATGACAGTTCGGTAATTCGCAAGAATAATATTCTTCCATAAAGTCAGTCGACGAATAGCAAGCGCAATTGTTTCAAAGACGAAAAACAAGAATAATTTGAGATTGTGTAACAATACACAATGATCGTGCTGATCTACCAACTCGCAACTATTTATTATTGTTTCGCTCTGTCGTTAGTTTGTTACCGCCGTGGCGTTTATTATATTCATTTCGATGACGGCGATGGCTTGTCGCTGGGTTTTGTTTTATTTAATTCATTCCAGCTACACGGAGCCTGATAACGCGTTA